AAATATCAACTAATGTTTTGCTGGATTACCAAAAAAAAAATTAAATAAAATAATTAAATAAAACTGTACTCGTTTATAGTATGTAGTAAAAATAAACAAAAATACTTTCAGAAAATAAAACTATATATTATATTTTCTAAATAAGCAAATTTTGAGTTAAAATCCATTTAAAAACATACCCTCAATTACTCACATGCATAACAGATTCATAACAATATATATATATAATTAATTAATTAATATTTATAATCATGAATAACGCAAAACTTAGACAACTCAGAAGTTGTATCACCATCAAAATTTTCACCAGTTTCCACTGTCGACAAATTGTCCGGAAATGGAAATCTGACAAAATCCCATTAAAACGAAAAAAAAAGAAGCAAAGATTCTCAGTTTCACAACCCACTCAAGCAATCAAAATCAAAAGCTCCATTACATGAGCAATTAGCTCAATCTTCCTCGTCTTCTTCACTCTTCTCCTCCTCCAATCACCGTACAACAAATGTCAGTTTTATGCGGAGCCGAATGCGTTTTCATCGTGGGTTTCGGCCGCTGGCTCTGGAAACGCTGCACCTACGTGGGTTCCGACGATAGCGCCTCCTGGTCCACCGCTACTCCCGACGAGTTCGAGACCGTGCCACGTGTCTGCCAACTCATCTTAGCCGTCTACGAGACCGACCTCCGCCACCCACAATTCCCTCCCCCCGGTGGCTACAAACTCAACCCGGACTGGGTCATCAAGCGCGTGACTTACGAGCACACCCTCGGCCGCGCGCCTCCTTACCTCATCTACGTCGATCACAACAACCGCGAAATAATCTTGGCCATTCGCGGCCTTAATTTGGTTAAAGAAAGTGATTACAAAACGCTGTTGGATAATAGATTGGGGAGACAGATGTTTGACGGAGGGTATGTGCATCACGGGCTGTTGAAGTCAGCGGAATGGTTGTTGAATCAAGAGAGTGAGACTTTGAAAAGGCTGTGGATCGAGAATGGGAGTGAGTATGATTTGATTTTTGCTGGGCATTCCTTGGGTTCGGGTGTGGCGGCGTTGGCTACTATTGTGGTGGTCAACCATAGAGATAAGCTGGGTGGGATTCCGAGGAGTAAGATTAAGTGTTACGCGGTGGCGCCGGCAAGGTGTATGTCCCTGAATTTGGCTGTTAAGTATGCTGATGTTATCAATTCTATTATTTTGCAGGTATGGAGTTTGATCATTGTTTGATTTTGCTTATTGATGGAATTTAGTTTGTTTTAAGGTTCATAAAATTTAGTTGTGGATAACTTGGGATTAAAGAAAAAGTAAAAAAACGTTTTTCATACTATTTATGATTTTAGTGGTGATTGCTTAAGGTGGTCTTTATATGATTGATGGGAACACCTTTAACATGATGTTATCAAATTTTGACAGGATGATTTCTTGCCAAGAACAGCTACTCCTTTGGAAGATATTTTTAAGTCAATATTCTGGTCAGTATTCTTGTTATATCTTTTTTTCTTGTTCCTTTTATTTCATTTTGTGGATTATTATTATGATTTCTTAAACCGGGGCTTGATGCTTTGGCCAGTTTGCCTTGTTTATTATATTTGGTGTGCTTGAGGGACACCTTCATACCAGAGGGTAGAAAACTTAGAGATCCTAGAAGACTTTATGCGCCAGGTCGGATGTATCATATTGTAGAGAGAAAATTTTGCAGGTAACAGCACATTCAGATTATGAACTTGTATTGCCCATAATGCATTATCATCTTAACTATTGTTTAGAATTGCCAAATGTTCTACTGCTCTGTGAATAAATGCTATTTGTATTGCCCATAAATACTATTTGTGTGAAATAGCCTCACAAGCTGAGACTAATAATGTTGTTATAGTTTGAAAAATAGATTGGACCGATCATTGCATGCCGAATTTGCATCTCATGCATATGCCTTGCTTTATTTTACTTTTGCCCCCCATCACATGCATCGGTTTTTTCCCCATCATTATAAGTTTCTATGAATCTGTAACTCCACTATCCCTTTGTTACTATGACCACTATCCCTTTGTTACTATGACCATTTTTGTTTCATTCTAGGTTAAAGGAAATTGGACTTGCATCAATTGTGCTCCTAGGTAGGAGATTTACTCTATACAACATTACTCAAGAATTGTAATGCCATGACTTTCTCATGGTTTATTGATTTTGCAGTCATCTTGTCACTGATCATTGTTCAAAAGAATGTATTAAGATTAGTAATAGGTGCATGGGTCTGATCCTTTGAAATTAGAAATTAAGAACAATAGTGATTAATGTCCGCAAGAAAATCAATTTGGTACTTCAAAATTTTATTTCTGTTTGAAGCAGAAGGAAAGTAAATTAAACTAAAAAGCCGTTGCAATAGCCACCACATCTGTTTTCATCATATTGCTGACATTATTGGAAATACATGCCAACTTAAAAGATCAGCAACATTTGTGAAGCTCATATGGTTGTGATTGTCCTAAATAGTTCACGTTTAGTAACTTTTGTATTTTTTGTATCATGCAAGAAAGGACATTTGTGAAGATGGAAAACATTGTTTTATAACTTTTGCATCATGCAAAAAAAGCTTCCTATTATGGTTTCATGGGTTATATTTCATTTATTTTCTCCTTTGATTTATGTCAACTAATTGTTTCCTGAACCATTTCTCAATTTCCATCTGCAAGGACAATGTATGGTTGTGATTGTCCTAAATTAAGCTCCCTGTCATAAATGCAGATGTGGGAGGTTTCCTCCAGAAGTGAGAACAGCTATTCCTGTGGATGGGAGATTTGAACATATTGTTTTATCTTGTAATGCCACATCCGATCACGGGATTGTTTGGATAGAAAGGGAAGCAGAGAAAGCTTTACAAGTAAGCTTCCTTTTCCCCTTGGGTTAATATTTATGGGCTTTTTCTTCATTATCACTTATGGTCTATACAATCAGGTTACGTTTTCTGTGCATAACTAGATGTGTCCACATTCAATTTGTCAAAAGTATATACAACTTTTTCCGCTTAGTAGGATATTCAATTCTAAAGTTTCAAGACCCAGGAAGGGTTAGTTCAAACTTGAGGTCCTTTTAACTATGATAAGTGTGTTGATAGACACTCATATTCTGCATTGAGAATTCTATCCCTGTCTAACAGTGATTGCTTCTCTAGGAGAAAACTGATGTTAGAGCATAAGAAACTTATTTTGAGCAAATCTTTTTTCTGTTATCTAAATCACTGACAGTTAATAGTGTTACTAATTACAGAGAATGAGGGAAAGCAGCCCTGAAACCATCACAACTCCTCCAAAAGTACAGAAACTGGAAAGGCTGCAGAGCATTAAAAAAGAACACAAAGATGCATTGGAAAGAGCTGTTAGTTTGAATATACCCCATGCTGTAACCGATCCAGAGGAGCCTCAAAAAAATGAGGCAGAGTCTTCCCAAGGTGAGCACCAAGATGCCTCAAACACTAAATCAAAGTCCAGTAGTGGTAATTGGGATCACTTGGTTGAGAAGCTTTTCAAGAAGAGTGAAACAGGACAACTAATTTTAAACAAAGATTTGAATGCTTCTAAAGATGTGGATGCTTCTAAGGCGTAGTTAAGCTTTTTCTCTTCTTATTGTTCTCTGAATATATGGTTTAGGTTTGAGGGAATATTTGATCCTGGCTGCTGGCTTTTTGGCTTGTTAGAATTTCTGTACATTTTTTTTTCCATGTAAAAACAATTATTGGATGGTTTACGACCCCGGATTTGCCATTCAAAATCAAGGGGAGCATCCAATTACAGTATACAGAAAAGGTGTTAAGAGCTGAGTCGTCAGTCTTGGTCTAATTCATTCTCTCTAAACAGTGAATAAAACTGCTGCTTCTTTGCAAATTCCCATAAATTCCATTGGAAAAATTGGATGGTGTTGTTCACATTGATTTGATGTCAAAAAGGCAATTTAATTGAGTTATTCTCATTTCTTGGCAACCAAGAATGGAACATCGGCGTCCATTTCTAACTTTGTCACACTCAATGTTTTAAAACCCGGCCTGTTTAACCAAGACTCGGGACCTTCATCGGATCGAGTAACTTAATTAAACTGTTCATAGCAAACCCTAGAGAGGAGAACAACGATTGGCGAGTAGACGGTGATGGGGATGTAGGGGGTTTTGGAAAGAAAGGGTCAGTGAGTTGAAAGGTGGCGATGGAGGTGATTTTTTATGAGTGAAAAATTCGAAAATCATAAAAACGCATAGCAGCAACAGCAAGTTGTTGTCATCGATTAGCGAGGCGAACAGAGGTAGGGTGAGATAGGTTTTGGTTAGGAGGCTAAGGGGAGTGTTTTCATGGTATGAGGAGTGTTGTCAACGTTGGAAACATGCCAATTTTGCCTGGGTTGTCGATGTTGGCGAATTTTTTATTTTTTTTTTGGGGTGTGAAATTGGCTAACTTTGGCTAAATCTTGGACCAATTTGCTAGGGAATGGAGTGGGATTTGCAATTGGTGTGTCGCCGTCGCCAACCAGTCGACCGCCGATTGCATTTGGCCAGATGACAAGGGTGTGTTTTGGATTGCAAACCTATAAAGAGTGCTAAGACATTTTCAGGAGTGTTTTTGTTAGATATTAAACCTGTTGGATTGACGATTAAGCTGGCAGTCAACCCAGGACCCAATCACTTAACCGGGTCATTGACCGATTTAAATTTGAAAACATTAGTCCCACTTCGTTAAAAGTTGAAATTTAAAGGCCACTAAGTATCGACACTAAAAATAGATTAACTTGGCAAATCCACACACTTCAAAGCCCAATTTGCCAAATGGGAATTAAGTTGCTGTCAAGCTTATCCAATCTTGAGCCAGCGAAAAAATTTCCATCCCTATCAAGAACAAGTTAGAAATGAAAATAGTACAAGATAAACTCCCGGAGATCTAACACCTGCATATGAATTCGTACCAATGTTGAGAAGATTACACTAACAGTTGCATACAATATTTGCACTGCTTTTTACCAAAGATTTAATGAACATGAATATTACACAACTATAAATGTCGATAATGTAGTGGAGAGTAAGAAAATTAGTAACATAGGGAAGCATAAAAAGGACCAAGATACGAATTTGAGATCAAACGCCAAATTCTCATAAAATCCAACAGCTTCATTTACACCAACCTAAGCATATATCATTAGTAGAAGGCATGCACATGCACCGAGAAAAAGCAGACTGGGAAAAAAATACCACAACAGTGTATAGATCATTTTGTACAACTGACTGCTAACATAGACTAATACTAATTTCAGTTCACACCGCTTGAAAATCAACTAAGTCTGCATTGCTTCAGCATGATAATTGTCCAGTTCTTTGTCGAGGTCATCGGCTGACTTATCAACAGGCTTCTTCCCCAGGCCATTACCACGTCCACGACCACGTCCACGTCCACGTCCACGTCCACGGTTATTCCGCAGACCTCCACGACGGCTCTGTCTGCAGCAAGATCCAACAACATATATCAATCACTAACGTAAAATATATCCCATGCACAAGATTTAGTTACTGAAGCACAGGCCATATCAACTTTGGCAAGGACTAGATCAAATACCAAGAAAAGCTTCTGATAATGGCAAACCACAAAAATTATTATAAGCAAATGTAAACAGGAAACCAGGCAAGTGTCAGTGTCTGCATTAGAAACTTACCCAGTACCACGATTTATCACAGCAGAGCTCGCTGGACGACCTGATCCTGGCCTGCATAATATCAATCATCAGTACAGACTACAAGTATAACATTCAAATCAACTAGAAATAGAATTACATTACATATGAAATTATAAGAAAGCACCTTACAAGCTATACTTTGAAGGGTATAAACCAAAATATATAGTAAACTAGAGTTATATAGTTCATCTGGGTGATAAAAACAGAAGCAACTTTCAAAATTTAATATGATTCTCCACATTAGGAGCCACAGTTTTTTATTCTAAATATAAACTTTTGATATGTTCACATCAAGCATAAAAAAACACCATACAATTTGGTAAAAAATAGTATAGTCAAGACCAACAATACTAGATATTTCCCAAAGAAAAACACAGTTCAATTAATTATAATTATGTGTATTCAGAAGATATATTGTTTCAATAAGAAAAAAGTGAACTTTTTAAAGGAAGTGAAGAAGGAATATAGTAAAGAAAAAAAATTACACAAATGTGAACAGCCCTAGCCCCTCGAATGCCAAACTAAAGTAAACGTGCAATAAATACATCAATTAATATCATAAATAAATTCAAGAATAATAGTTCCAGGAGAGGTATATATATGGACAGTTCTCCTATTATCAGTAATTTCTATTCAAGTAATATTAGATTACTAATAGTTACTGATCCTGGTTCAATCAGCAGGCACATATAAATCTAAGCAAATCAAACAACCATAATCATTGATTTTAAAAAGCATAACCAGCCCCTGAAACCCTTGAATCACCAGACACAAATCCAGTAAACACAATAGATAATGTCAATTAGCTTAACATCACAACATCAGCAAATCATAAGTACTTTCTATAATAAACAAATAAATAATATCCACATACGTCATAACCACAGTCCTCTTCCGCCTTCCATTCATTCCGCTCACATTCACACGAGCTGAGATAGGCACTTCCGCATTGGGGCCCACAATTTCAATTTTCATGAGCGTTCCACCAAGCAATACATTGTTATACCGCTTAAGAGCTGCAAATGCATCACTTCTTCTGGTATACACAACTTCAGCTGAACCCTGTAACATGTAACTAGCATATTTACTCAGAAATACAACACCACTAATAATGCCAAACCATCAAAGTAATAGGCCAAAACAACAACTACAAAAACCAATAAGATATTCTTGGTCAATATCTAGAACAAATACAGGCATTGGATACAAAATCTAAATCACATGTGATACAATAGATTTAGGCCACACAAAAAACTAGAAACTAACTCAAAAAGCAATAAAAAGTTAGAGGAGTCAGGAGATAAATCAGTAGAAAAAGGGAATAAGAGACTGAGGCAGAAGAAATATACAGAAATAGAACCATCCACAAGAATACGGCATTTCCAAGTCCAAATCTAAGAATAATGAATTTGGTGTTCATGAACCAAAACATCCAAAACAATATTGCTAAGATGATTCTCTATTGACAGTATTTTCTACATAGATATCCATATATGGATATGTATATCTATGAATATGTATACATAAACCTATAGTGGTATATATACCTCTAATGACAAAAGAGATTACAACAACCAACCAAGCCATCCTACATATTTCCCAGTAAAGCTACAAGACCTTATTCAATACCAAAGCAAAAAAAAGAAGGCAAATTAAAGATATCTAGCAGAAAAAAAATGCAGGCAAACAGACCAATTAATCATCCCGGTATGATGCAAAAATATTCAACATATATCCAAAACACATTATCTTTACCTCATTACAACGAAACGACATAAAATCACATGAAAGAAAACAAAACAGAACCGGAATAAAAGAAGAAGAAAAAAAAAAAAGAATGGGCACTCAAAAAAAAATCTTACACTGGGACGACCATTCCTGTCATAATGAATGGCATATCGTTTCAGTTCTCCAATCTCAGAGAAAAGTTCCTGAGAAGCATACCAATATCCATGAGAAAATTTTCAGAAATCATTCAGAGTATTTTTGATGAGAACATAGAGTTCAAGTTGTACCCTTATATCTTCATTGGTTACTCCAAAATGCAAGTTTGAAACATATAACTTTGCACCAACTTCTATTCCAGATATTCCTGCAGCTCTAAGGCTGTCTTCAAACAAATCATGCTGCCAGGGAAAACTCTTGGCTCTGCGAAAAGACTGATAAAAGCAGGAAAAAACCGAGCGGGAGAAAAACAAGTCAGCTAATGACAAGATAGCAAAATAATTCACAACTCTTCAATATCAACCAGATATCAGCAAAATACCCACAGAAAACAAAAGAAACCACTAACAAGTAGAATCCAATTAGGTAAAAGCTCAAGCAACCCAGTAATCAAACACCAGCAATTGAGTTAATAGATCGTAGAAGAGAGCAAAAGATTTGACCCACTGCACATAAACTGTTGCTATGCTAATGGTGAGAGCTCCAGTTCTGAAGTTAAGCGAAGGAAGCTCCTTTGCAAAAATGCCATGAACTAGGATAGTAACTGAAATCCCGCAACGAAGGAAGACCGGACTTGGGAAGAGGATCCAATCATAATCTCCAAGTCTAAACCACCAGCCATCAAACACTAATGTGATTGAAACTACATGACATGGTTGTATGTGTATATAGAGAACTTGACCGCATTAATTCTTAAATGATGTTATGCTACTGGTGAGCACCATTTCAAATGTTCACCTAATGAAGCTCCTTCACAAAAATGCTAGTAGGTAGCATAATAACTTATTTGGCACTGGAGCACTTCTGCATATATTTATGAGATCTGATAGCAAAGTCCCCAGGATTAATCCAAATAACTCACAATTACAAATAAATCATGAAGATAGTGGTAGAAATGCAACAGGTGGTGATAAACTTAGTATTCGAGCCAAAATAAGCTTCTTCATGATCAATATAACGTTAAAAATCCCCTTTGAAAATCTAAAAGAGGTTTAGAGATCCTCTCGTATATGAGTTTCATAAGCTTATTAAATTCTCATCATACGCATATAACATCCACAGTTTTGAGCTTGCCTTGGCAATGGTATATGATGATGGCCGAGCTTTCACTGTGAGAGGACCTCTACGAACAGGCCCTAGCATTCTTCCACCATTAAAAGAACTGCCCGGGCCACCGCGGCCACGGCCACGCCCACGAAGGGCCCTGCCTTGTCCTCTAACTCTCTCATTCTTTTTCCTGCTCTTTATAATGTCATCAAGAGACATGTCCACGTTTGTAGCCATTGGATTATAAACACAAAGTTCAATCTTCTTGAAAAGCGAATAAAAAAGTAAACCTGCAAAACATAATTAAATGCATAAGATAATGAAAACTCTCTACAAAGCTATTCTATTAGAAAATACCACACATCACCACGAAACCACTGCAGATATTAAAGTTCCAAGTTCCAACCATATCTCATTACATAAAACATCAATGAAGTGGGATAAGACTGGTAAAAACCAACAGCCACCTCACCACATTCTTTTCCACAACAGCTAAAATCAAGGCAACTTTTCCGGTAACCACAAAGAACTGTCAAACAACAACCTCTCAATAGACTTTAGATCTGGAAGTTCAAACACGCCACAATCATACAAGTTTATTAAAAAAATTGGAGCTCTCACCAGCTCATATACTCAAATTCATTAAATAAAATATTCACATTGCTTTTCCCGTAGTTTTCTCAACACCCAGAGAAAATCTAAATTTTTCAGCGAGAAAAATTTTAAGGAAAAAACACAGAACCTGACATGCAATATCGCTGATAATTACTTTGAAAACAGTTGAATAATCAACCAAATTTTGAATTAAATTAGAATTTCAAAACGAAAATTTTAAAAATAAATAAATTTAATTAATATCATACAAGACCTGCAAGCCTCAAATCCGACTTGATGCGAATCAAAACATATATTAAATAAGAAAAAAAAATCACTTTTAACCAAACAAAAGGCGCAGCGTAAATCAACAAACAAAATTTGTGATCTGAACCCAAAAAAAAAAAAATACCTGAAAGGACGATGTAAAGGGATTGGTGAAGCGGAAGACTAAACAAAAATCGAAGAGATTGAGAAAATAAGAGAGTAGCGATTAAGATTAGGGGATTTTTAAATAAGATTTGTTTTTTTAGGGTTTGTGAGTCGGGCTTCTTCGAGGAAGGCGGTGCAAGTCTTCAAGATGCCCCTTGTCTTTAATGTTTGGCTGAGGTTATGACTTTATAGGTTGGATTCTGTTCAACGTCCTCCAATCAAATGCTTCCACGTAGATGCGCAATATTAGTTTTATTGGGCAGAATAGTTAATCTTCGTTCTTTTTACTTTTTACAAGCATTTTTCAGTAATTCCATTTGAATTAAAAAATATAATACTGTATATGTTTATTTACTTATTAGGATTATTATTTTGAAAATTAATCTGAATTAAATAAGATTTTTTCTACTGGAAATAAAATTTAGATGGGACTTGTTTCTATTATCCTATTCTAATTTCTAACATTTTTTCAACTCTATTTACCTAAAAATAATTATTTTCATAATAAAAGTTTATATAAATTAACAAAAACACCCCATCCACCCAAGCTATTGTTGGTCGCCAACAACCACCATGAGCCGCTGCTGTCACTAGGGGTGGATTCAACCCCTTTGAGGGTAGGCCTGGCAGGCAGGCCTCAGATTTGAAAAAAAAATTATTAATATGAAGGCCATCAAAAAATGTTAATTAACATATATACCCAGATCCACCTTCAGATTTTTAAAAAATAAGAACTATTATACATACTGTATATCTAGGTCTACAAAAAAACTTGTTATATATATATATTCTAAGCCCACATCATATTAAAAGTTTAAAACTCTCTCCAGTGTTTTTCTACACAGCTTTACCTGTTTTTTATAATTTTATCCCCAAATTCTTTACTTTCTCTTTCTCTTTCTCTTGTTATTCGCTCTTAAAATTTTTGAAGACTGAAATTGTTAAATTTTCACTACTCAAGGTGTCATAATTAGCTCCGTTTTCTGTTTTATCGATTTTAAGTATGTATATTGTTCATTTCAATTTAGTTTATCTAAGGATTGAATTATTATTTTTTCTTTTTGAGGTTTTTTATTCTAATTTGAGAGAAAAATATATTAATCTTGTGAGTTTATTTTATATTTTCTATCTAAGAATGAATCTGTTTTCTCAAATTAAAACCTAAACTATATTTTAAAGGACGTTATTCTTCACCTTTTACCCACCACTTTCCTACATTTTAAACATCACCGTTCAGTTGTTCAAAATTATTAAAGAAATTTGAGTTACTATTTATATTTATATTTATACTAAAAAAATTTCCTCTCTTTTATTAATTCATATTAAAAGTCAACGTAACGTTGACTTGATTTAAGTTTTGGTTGACTTTAACTTAATTCGGCTAGGTTTGATCAACGATATGAAAATTTATATTATAATTTTTTAAAGTCAAAAATAAAAATAGGTTTGATCAACGATATGAAAATTTATATTATAATCTTTGAAAGTCAAAAATAAAAATATTAAAAGAAGGTTTTGGGGGTTTTTTCTCTGAGCTTATGAAAATTAGCTTATAAGCAACAAGTGCTTATAAGCATTTGAAATTTTAAGCAATTACGTGTTTTGTTAAAATACTTATAAGTAACTAATAAGTAGTTGACGTGTTTGGTAAAATGTGATTTATAAGTACATTTTATTATAAAATGACTAAAAAATGTACTACATTAAATAAGGATTTACTATGAAATTTTAAAATTAAACAAGGATAATGTGGTAATATACTTGGTCAAACTAACTTATAAGCAAAGTGCTTATAAGCAAAAAAAAAAAAAGGCATCTACCCCCCAACTTATTTTTTTTTTGCTTATAAGCTCAACTTATAAGCTCAACAAAGTTATAAACAAACAGGTCAGCTTAATTTTAGAGCTTATAAGCTAGTTTGACCAGCTTATAAGTTTAGACAAACACCCCCTTTGTTCAAGGTTTACTCAACACTTTTACTCAAAATTTTGCTTCTCATATATTTATTTAAGTAAGAAAATATTATGTTATTGTATTTTTTTTTTTCTCAGGTTCTTAATATTGTATTATTTTTTTTATTAAGGTTTGGTAATTTTTTAAAGTTTTCACTAATTATTTGGCAAATAATGGCGGCCGCAGAGGTCCCCCCTCGATAAAAATCCTGGATCCGCCACTTGCCGTCGCTAGCCACCGATGCTAGAATAATGCATGACCTGTTGAATTTGGTCATTGACAACTAGATTTTGGTCGTTAGTGACGACCAGATCCTAGCTATAGATCTAACTATTTCCAACTAGGCCCATGGTGGATCTTGTTGAAAAAGGTCACATCAACACACAACCGACCAAATCTAGTCAGTCGTACACAATTCCGGCGACTGTTGACTGCTATCCGACGATGGTGGCTGACTGTCGATAGTTTTTTGGTGGGTGTGAGTGTTTTTGTTAATTTATAAACTGTTGACTGCTATCCGACGATGGTGGCTGACTGTCGATAGTTTTTTTGTGGGTGTGAGTGTTTTTGTTAATTTATAAACCTTTATTATGTGAGTGTTTAGCTAAATTAACAAATATAGGAGATTAAAAAAATCTAAATATTTTCAGAAAATGTTTTCCAAAAAATGTGTATCAAACAACTATTCTAATTTTTATCCAACTCTGATATAATTTTCAGATATTATACAAAATACATTCTCATAATCATATTCTATTTGATTTAATACTATCCTATTCTATATTTTTCAAAATAATACTTTTTCAAATAACCGACCAAACCCTATAATTGGGGAAAAAATCCTAAGGAATGTTTGGCATTTCTAATGAAACGGCACCCTACTGTTGTAACGAGGATATGAATGCAGATAGTGCGTGAGGGTCCAAATTGTAGTGTACATTGATGTGTGTAGATTACACTGAAAGAAGGTTGAAACTTCCTTTATTATCTTCACCATTTTTTAATCGGTCCGACAACGATGTTTGGTGATTGTTGTTGCCGATGATGGCGGGTGAAATTACGCGGCCGCAAGCGGATGCATTAGGCGTTAATGTGTGGTGGAGTGATGGCATCATGGCAAGTTTGACAATCCACGAATAATGCGTATGACTTTCTTGGTGATCTCATTGACGAGTGAAATGATTTAGAGAAGTTTCGTCCTAAATGTATCATATAGTATATGATTACAATAATTACGATACATGATGGCAATGCTAGATTCCTCTTACAAGGGTTAGAAATTTTGAGTATCGACCCAATTTGATTACATGTAAAGATAAACATTTCCCTTTGAAAAATAAAATGTTAGATTATAAAGTTTGTTTGGTATGGATTTTTTCAAATCGAATTCATAAAAATAGAGATTGTTGTTGCAATTTCTCATATCAACTAGAAGTATGCGAGCCTACAAGAGAGTTCCCGCAAGGGTTTTGTGTGACTAAGAATATGATGCTAAACCAATAAGCAAAATAATAATAATGCGAGTAAATAAATAAAATGAGTAGATAAAATGGTTTGGATGCAAAATGCAAATCCTACTTCCATTGTTATCTAATTTATTTTCTTGCGTGCTTTTTATGTGTTTACAAAAGTTATTTGCTCTTAAGAGAGACAATTGCTCTTAGTTATTGAGAAAATGAAATTTGGACATCTTTTTATTTCGGGTGAGAGAACCATATTTATATTATTACATGGGTGATCTTGCTCATGAAGTAACATTCTCATCGCATGACACGTGGCCTGACAAACTGCCTTTATTGGAGACTTACTAGTGAAGTAATCATCTCATGAGATGACATGCAACCTAAATGACAACTCAACCCTAAACCTGACTATTGAAATAACCTATGATAGCCTTACAAATAAATTAACCATTTCTTAATGTGACATGCGACCTGGGTAGATGCATAGTCACAAAACATGTGACGGAAGCTTACGTTAAATTTGTATAATCATAGGACATGCGTAAAAAATTCATGTCTTATAGATTTGTCATACAATAGAGATTATTAGAATAGACTTTGTGAAAATTTAGTTGTTATAAAAAAAGTCGTTAGTTGTTTGGTTAAAAAAAAAAAAAAAAAGTTTTTAAAGTTAAATTGACCAAAAAAAATTAATATAAAAAAATACAAACCAAAATTTATAAAATAATAGGAGCCTATAGGAGAGTTCTAAGAGTTCGCACAAGGGTCTAGTGTGATTGAGAATATGATGTTGGACCAATAAGCAAAATAATGATAATGCGAGTAAATAAATAAAAAGAGTATAAAAAATGAGTTTTAAAAATAGTTCGGATGCAAAGTGCAAATCCCACGTCCACTGTTATTTAATTTACTTTCTTGTGTGTTCTTATGTGTTTACAAAAGCTATTTGCTCTCAAGAGAGGCAATTGCTCTTAGCTATGGTGAAAATGAAATTCCAGGGGTCTTTTATATGGGGTGAGAGAATCCTATTTATATTATTGCATGAGTGGTCTTGCTTATAAAGTTCCCCCTCATCACATGACATGTGGCCTGGTAAACTGTCTTATTGGAGACTTACTAGTGAAGTGGTCATCTCATGAGATGACACACAACCTGGATGACAGTTCAACCCTAAACCTTACTGTTGAAGCAACATATGACAACTTTACAAATAAGGTAACATTTTCTTGGTGTGACACGTGATCTGGATAGATGCATGGTCACAAAGCACGTGGCGGGAGCTTATGCTCCATCATCACAGGACGTGGCGAAATTCATGCCCTATGAATTTACTATATAACAGAGATTATTATGATAGACTTCGTGAAAATATAGTTATTATAAAAAATTCGTTAATTGTTTGGTTAGAAAATGCAAAAGAGTTTTTCAATGTTAAATTGACAAAATGATATTTTGATATAAAAAATACCAGCTAAAATTTATAAAATAGTAAGAAGATATTTTACAAATTTCGACATTTTATAAATTTCAACACTTTTTAACGAGCTTAAAATAGTTGCTCTGTGTAATTCTTTCGGTTCTTATATATGAAACCAGTACTTAAAACAAAAAAAAAAATCTTAAAAATACTTGAAATTTAAAATAATATCTCTTGATTAGTGAATAAGTTCAACCTACTTATTTTAAATTTCATTTTATCTTAGATTTGTTACCGTTACAATTTTAACCCATTTAAATGAAAGATAAGGTTATTTAATTAGATTTTATCCAATCTATTAGTTATTAGGTCAATTTAGTGTAACATTCCATTCATCATAATATTGTCTCTAATTATTGAGTTAGATATTTAAAATAATATCTTTTAACTTCTTTCTGGCCGCCATCTGGCCAGAATAAATGGACGGATTAATCTGGATGGGTGGTGGTAGGTAGTAGTAGTACCCTTAATTATGATAATTGGTTGAGTTGGGCCTGACAGAAAAGCCCACGTAAGCCCAATAATTTTGAGCCCAAAATAACACTAAAACTACGCTCTTCTGTCAAGCTCCGTTGGAACTTGAAACCCCAAAGACCAGAGAAGGAAATAATCTCTTCATTTTCTTTTATGCTTTATTATAGCAGTCTACTTCTCCCATTCTCTCTTCGATATATGTTTCCGGCGGTTATTTAGAAAATTGTGAAGCAATGGAAAACGTAAACATGGCGTTGGTTTCATCTACAAGTCCGAAACTAGTGTTTAGTAACACTGGTTTCAGGAACCCTACCAGAGAAATCTCCAGGCTCAGAAGAAACTCTTCCTTTGCTATGCCCTTTACGCTTCAGTCTTCGAGAATTGGGGCCAGGACCTCTAGAATTTCCGTCTGTGCGCGTGCTGGTTCTCGTCGAATTGGTCAAAACGGTGCGTTTTATTTATCTGTTTTTATCAATTTAATTGTGTTTTTGACGTGCTTACTTTAACTTTATTTTTTTGAATGACAGGGAAAGTTGGTGCTGATGTTTTTGCCAATTTATCTTCTTCAAGTGGTCAACATACTTCTTCAGTCGGCGTTAACCCGAATTTAGCAGTGCCACCACCATCGTCGAGCATGTAACTCCTTTTTTTTTTTTTTTTTTTCAGATTTTTGGTTTTACTATATATAAAAAAAGCTTTTAAATTGGATAGCCATTAGAGGTTTTTTTATTTTTTTAAATAAAGAAAAGTTTTTGGGATAAGATAGGGCTTGAAGTATTTTCTGAAGAAGCATTTATAATTGCTTATCTGGAAACTCTTTCCGGTGCTTTTGCAGTAATCACTCAAGTGTTTTTTTACAAAGCAATTTGAAGGGCTCCTTTTTTTTAAGTTATTTTATTTTTATTTAGTTAAAAGTTTATGTTTTGATTGTCTATGTAGGGGTCGCCTCTGTTTTGGGTTGGAGTGGGCGTTGGTCTCTCAGCGCTATTTTCATTTGTGAGTACAAGTATTTGCTTGCCTTATTTTTAAGTTCACTATTGGATACATTTACCAGAATGCTTTTTTCTTTTTTCTTTTTTATTTCATATATTGTATTTTAACAAGATGAATTAAATGACAGGCCGCATCAAGATTGAAGGTGAGTGTTTCATTCGTTTGGAGTACCATATATACAGCCATGTGAGTTATTTTAGTTTTGTTGAAGCAGCAGTTGAACTAGTTGATGAAGCAATGCAGATGACATCATTTATGGCTGACCTAAAAGAATTTCTTGTCTGTACAAGGAGACAAGTGTGTTTCTTAATGCAAGGATTTGTAACCATGCTATATGTTGTTGTCGGGATTGTCTATTGCACTTGGTAGATGCTTTATTTTTTTTACTTGTAGATTGTGTGAATGATTAGACATGATGCTTTTAGTGAACTGGGGTGTTCTGTAGATTATAGTTGTTTGTTTATGGGAAGTTTATATTGGAAGCCTTTTGCTCATCAATGCCCATATCTGGGGATGGCCTGTTTAATAGGGGCTGAAAAGGTTGGGTTTATTGGATTCATATTTTCTGTGGTTTGACTTCGGTCCTCTGTCTCTCTCTTGTTATTGGAGTCAGATATAATCTTTTATTCTGAAGATGAAAACCTCATCATCAGATGGTAGCATCTGACGGCTTGCACTCTGTTGAGAATTCCTTGTTTAGAATTATTTCCTTAAAGAGAGAATAAAAGTTGTGTATTAGTCACTGTTAAATACAGGGCATATGTTACAGATTTGATTCTTCAGTGATAGTCTTGCTGGATCTTCCTCTCATACAATTTTCCTTCTTGAGTAATTCTGTTTTAACTCTTTTATCTTTTCAACTGAAAAACATTCTTCATTATTCTCTTTGCTTTAATTATTCAATTCCATGTTTGCTTTGATTCTGGAAGGTTCTCTGTGTTTGTTGGTAAGGAAGTGGTCCCCCTTCTTACTTTCAAGTTAATGCATTTTATCACCTAAATAATCATAGCCGTATAATATGTATGGTTTAGCTTGTCCTTGCGTCTCGGTTATTAGTTGTCTGCACTGGAAGAGTTTGGTGTCTATAATTTTTAGTGGTATGGACTCTTAGAAGAAAGTAGTTTTTGTGTTGAACTTACTTGTCTGACATGGCATGTCTGTGTTACACCTGTACACATGTAGGACATGTTTCAAACAGGTTCAGAATTTATTTATTTATTTATTTATTTATTATTATTATTATTATTATGGTTTGAGCACATAATGTGATAACTATAGCTCTTGTTCAAACAAGGCTTTTTTAATGAGAATAAGCCATGTTGATCTGTCTTTATCAGATCAATGGCTCATTTACTTACACGCAGAGCTGCAAAAAGTTCATAGTATGACTAGAGAAAATTTGACTGTGCTTATTTTAATTTTTTTGATTGTCTCAGCAATATGCAATGCAACAAGCTATGAAAACTATGATGAACCAGATGAATACTCAGAACAACCAATTTAGCAATGCTGCCTTTTCTCCGGGATCACCTTTTCCCTTTCCAACTCCGTCACCGTCAGGGCCTGGTGCACCTTTTTCACCTACCTCTCAACCTTCAGTTACAGATGTATCTGCTACAAAAGTAGAAGCAGCTTCAGCCACTGATGTGAAAAATGAAACAGAATTTAAGAGTGAAACGAAAGTGAAGGACGAACCAAAGAAATATGGTAGGAAAGGAGCTTGTGCTTACCACTAACTTAAAGTGATAGTCAATATATTATGCTTTGTGATCCTTGCCATACAAACATGCTTTTATTTCTTTCTCAATTTAAATGCTTTAATAAATGGTCCTGGAAGAAGTTTTGTCATTTGTTATTCTGTTATGTTTGCTTAGTTATAGTTTTGTGAATATATAAACAAATTTTGATCAATGAATTAGAAGTTTGACTATTAGAGAGGTTAAAGTTTCAAATATGTTTCTAGTTTGAACCCGGAAATCTGGTAAATTGTTCAAATTGTTGACATTTGTTTAAATTTCCAAATGCAATCAGTTTATTTTTCAGTGCTATTCATATACATACAAGAAAATTGGAATTTTTGAAGTAAAAGTATTAATTTTTAAGTTTTTGATATATTTGGAAAGTATTGAATTTATTTTGGGAGCTAGCTCTGACTTTTGTGTGTGGGGTGTAAATGAGATGGTAGTTTACAAACATGATTGCAATTTGTAAGGAGAAATGCAATGTTAATACCTAAAGCATTTGTGACCTGTTGAAAGTGAACAATTATTGTCTAATATTAGCCATTCATTTTTTCTATCAATCCCTGATATTCTGCTATTTAGAATGCTTATATGATTTTTGATAGTTTCCCGTGAGAAATCCTTATGCAGCTACTACTTGCAGCTTTTGTCGATGTTTCCCCAGACGACACCTTACAAAAAAGTCCTTTCGAAAACTTTGAAGATTCAGAAACAAGTTCGTCCAAGGATTCTCAGTTCCAGGAAGTAAGCGCTGTCAGTTAGTTGTTTCTATATGTTGTGGTTGGAATAATTTTTTGAGATCAACTATTTTGTAATTTTGTGAAGGTTACACAAAATGGAGCTGCTTTCAACCAAGGATTTGGTGATTCTCAAGGGGCACAATCTACAGGTATGTCAATAGTGTTAATAATGTTGCATACCTTCTTGTTGCAGTGTTTTCTTTTCTTTTCTTTTTTTTTTTTTTTGGGCTTCTTGTAGTGTAATATAAGCTCACAAACTGCCTCTGCTTTCCTTATTATAATTTACGTACCAATGAATTTTAAGATATAACTTATGGTTTCTTGGGTAGGCATTTTTTTTTCCTGAAATGAATTAATTTAAATTTTTGATGGTGGTAGGTTTAGATATGTTATCAGAACATTTCGCTCTTATGTAGGACATGTAGCTTATTTAAATTATTTAAGCCAAAGTCATAATTTGATGATCTTATGGTTTTGGTGACAAGTGTTTTCTATTTTTATGGTATGAGGTTCCATTGAACATTACATTCAAATTGCTTGTTTGTTTCCTTCACATGATGATCCTGATGATGTTTCTGGCAATGCCCTACTTTCAACCCTTTCTTAGATGTGGTTTTTTTATGTTGCTTCATCCGACTTGTGAGTAGGGAGGGGCTCTAGAGCCTTCTAAACCTTGTGAATTTATCGGGTTTGTCGAATTGTTCTTTCCATAAAAGAAGAAATAAGTGAATAATTTAGCTTTGTTTTCCAAATTTAGCATTGGCAATGTAAGTGTAGCAAGTTTATGGATCGCATAACTTGGTGTATGATTGGTTATGATGGTAGTAGGTCATACTATTGATTTTAGTGTCTATCTCTTTGCTGTTTATTACTTTATTTGTTTATTAAATTTTTATTTGTGACAAGAAATCTATCTTTCTATCTGTTGTTAGTCATCCTGTATGGGTAAAGTCTTGGGTTTGTTAATGTAGGGAAATGTGAAATATTTTCAATAATGATTTTTATTTTGTTGTTTTCTACTACCACTATTTTAAAAGGATCAAGTGCCTTCCTTTCATCACCATTTGAGATTGTGATGTCTTACTCAATGTCCTTAAGACATTATGGCAATACTATTTGAGTTCCATGATTTCGAGGACAGCAGTGATGTTCTAACCAATTGTTCAGATATTCAGAAAGACATTGACTCCAAAATTATCACGTGATATATATCAGCTCCGATGTTAATTGTATTGATGGGTTTCTTTCCGATAGATTCTTTAATCATGCTTAAGATGGATCAATGCCACTCATATTTACTCCAGTTGTACTTTTTGGGATTAATATTGGTGTTTTAGGTTTTACATAGTATTTTTGTTTTTCGAAACTAAATAAATGAAGGTGGTTCTTTTAAATGCTCCTTGTATGTCAGGTTCCCCCCTTTTTGATGTGTTTATATTTTTTATTCATAAGAAGGTCATATTTGCAATTATATAGGTTTCATGATGAAGTTTGTTTAAAATGTGTTGTTGCTTGTCTGCTTGCGTTCATGCATACCTCTGATTTAATATTTGCCTGTGCACTTGTTTATTGTCACTTTTTTTGGTCAGAATTTGATCTAATGCTGGTATTCATTGTGCCTTTCTTGGTACCATATCAGACAATGGTTAGACATTTGGCAAAAAAATTGATATGAATAAATTCTACTTTATGACAGCTGCTAGTTGCTTGAATCATTCCACTTCAAAGGTGGAAGTTCAATTCCACTTCAAGCTTGAATCATTTCACTGTTTTCTCCGGGTTAAACATCTTATGCTCTTATTTATATGTGGACAGGAAAAAAGAAAGGTGCCTTGTCAGTGGAAACTTTGGAGAAAATGATGGAAGATCCAACAGTGCAGAAGATGGTTTATCCGTAAAATAGCTTCTCTTCCTTTTACCATTTTGTGTCTTCTAACTCTTCCAATGGATTGGTCTTGGTTCCACAATTTGTGATTTTCTAATTTTGATCCTTGATTTCATGTTGGCATGTTGATTTAAGTATGTTTGAAGTTGCAAATTCTGTTCTATACGCGATTGAGTTCCTTACCCATCTTGATGACAATAATGGTAAACCTATATGTTGATCTAGTTGGCCCTGATGCCAGAATTAATTCAGTGTTAGCAACCACCTGTTGCCTACAAGCACTATTGGGTGTTAGAGAAATTTGGTTTAAAGGAAGAAAATCTAGGTATCTTAATTTTAGTAATTTTTCTGCAATTTCCATCATACAGAGTTGCCAGTCCAAGGGTTAAATGATTATATCCTATAGGGAAAAGAGATGGAACATGAAATAAAATATTCAAATTTTAAGTTTATGCTAAGCAATTGTGCTTGTGTACTATTATGGCATGTATATCTAAATTCTATCTGCGGACTTGGTTCCTAAGAAATTTGAATCTAAAGTTAGTTGACTTTCATACAATTTCTTTTTTCTTTGTCATAAGAAATCTAATTTTGTTCATGTTCTGGCAGATATTTGCCTGAAGAGATGAGGAATCCTACTACTTTCAAGTGTAAGTCCTTCAGTGACATCTCTTTTTCTGAGAATGTTAGGTTTTGGCTCTTCTCCTTATAAAGTTTTAGACAATAGAATCCAATTTAGGTGGAAGCAGTGTTTTAATAACCGAGCCGGGGTGCAACCGACAAAGTGGCCGGTCCACATCAGCGTGTTTAGAAGTTTTGAAATCTAGCAAACACACCCCAAATGCAAATCGGTGGTTGATTGGTTGGCGGCGGCGGCGACACACTAGGTGCAAATCTCACTCATCCTTTTAGCCATTCCCCAGCAAATATGCTTAAGATCTGGCCAAAATCGAACCATTTTGCTTCAAAAAACACCACCGCCGGTGTCGATAACCAATGCCAAATAGGGTCTTTTTCCGGTATCGACAACACGCCCATCACCGCGAAAACACTCCCCTCAGCCTCCTAACCAAAGCCCATCTCACCCCCCCTGTTCGCCTCGCCAATCGCCGGCAACAACCAGCTATTGTGGCCACGCTATTTTTGCCTTTCCCGGTCGTTTCGCTCATCGGAAATAACCTCTATCGCCACCTTTCAACTCGTTGGCACTTCTTTTCCAAAACCCCCAACATCCCCACCACCGTCTGCTTGCCGATCATCGCTCTCCTCTCTAGGGTTCGAGGTTGAAATTGGTGAATAGTGGAAATGGTGACCTGGCCAGGCGAAGGCCCCGGGTCCTGGTTACATCAGTTAAACCGGCCGGGCCGGGTTTTAAAACAGAGGGTGAAATATCATAATTTTTATTACAATCCTGGAAGTCAATTATCGGAGTTTATTTAGAAATAGTTGAATTTGTAGTAGACTTTTTCATTCAAAACGTCTGGGTTTATGTTGCTTTCTCTTGCTTTCACTCCCAGGTTATAGAACTGAATTGTGTGGACCTCATCGTATTACAGTTTCTGACATAATGAATTCATTGCATGGAATAGCTGATTAGTTTTATATGCTCCTACATTACTCTTCCACCATTTTATAAAACTACTTTTATTGGGTTTAACATATCTTTTGTTTATTATTGTTGTATGCATGCATAACTCCATTTTGATTTAGCATATTTGTGTCTGGTATGCTTATTATTTAATTAATGTTTACCTTTTTGGCCATGCCTATTGTCTAATAGGGATGCTCCAGAATCCTCAATATCGTCAGCAATTGGAGGAAATGCTGTAAGCTATTTTCAACTTCGTGATTTGATTTTTTGTTTCAGAAGAGCTTATTATCCTCATTGATGTTTATGTCTTGAGCCCTTTTTTTTTTCCTGGAAGTTATTAATAGCCACACCTTTGGTTTTAGTTGATCTAGAGTTTTACTAGCATTAAGCAATGTTGGATTAATTGATATTCAGTTCATGCTCTTTTCTTGGTTCAAATTTGTAATAGGTGGTCTGCATATTTCTTTGCTTATAGCTGTTGTTCCATAACTCTCTAGTCCGTAAAGAGTCTTAAAAGTTAAAGAGTGATTTTTGTTGAAAGTTGAAACTGACGGTCTTGGGCATGGAATTGGTTCTTCCAACCTTGCGTTTGGTTTCTAGTAATTTTTTATTTACATGGGGGCATTATGTTGTTAATGCTCTTAAATTTTTTTTCTTGATGGTAGCAGTTTCAATTTCTTAATTTATACTGATGTGTTTGTGTATTGGATGCTGAATCTTAATTTATAATTTTATTTCTGAAACTCTTTCTTGGTTGGTGTTATTTCTGATAACATTACAAATAGCTACAACCAAGTTTACATCTGGTTTCATCTTCTGTGGAAGTTGATTGTTATCTGAATTTGTATTATATATGCCTTGTCTTAGTTTTAGTTGTTAGAACCAACAACTGCTTCAATTTTTCCCAGCACAATGCTTGTGATGTCAACATTTGATCATATAGTGAATAATAATTATGTTTATGAACTCACTTTTCTAGTTAAGTGTTCTATTGCCAAATTTTATGCTTCTGTACTAGTCAGAAATTGGTTATTTAGTGGATCTAAATTGTTTTTTCACAATTGGTGTTTGTTCCAGGACCAATATGGCTGGAAGTGAAGAATGGGACAAGAGGATGATGGATACCCTGAAGAACTTTGATCTCAACAGTCCTGACATTAAGCAGCAGTTTGGTAAGTTTGAAATTGACTAGTTGCAATTATTTAAGCTGGAAAGTTAAATATCTGAGATTAGTGTTTGATGTTTGCCTTGTGAATTTGATGGCCAGTTTAAATGAGTTGTCTTAGCTGAGTGCCTTTCAGATATGTCCCTTTGTGTATTCTGCATTTTGCTCTACTTAATATATAGTCACTTCCAGTCAGATGGAATTTAATAGAGATCAAAAGGAGCACTTTCTAAAGGTGTTTTGACATATATTGGATGTTGTGGGGCCGTTGGCTACTCACCATTTCATTAATGAGTTTATTTGGGATCAAGCTCATTTGTTTTAAGTACATTGCTATTGTTTTTATTATTTTTTTCTCTAGGTTTGGTTAGTGCTATTTGGAAATCATATATCTTATAGATCTGGACATTAGGCCCTTGGGTCTTAAACAAAAAGAAGACAATTCATGTTGGAAAGGAAACAAAAGAGCCTTGACCCAATTTATAGAATTATAAAATAAGTCTCATAAAATATTTTTGTGAAAACTTTAGATTTTTTTCTCTTATCACCGATGTTGAAAAAAGAACCTAGACCCAATTTATAGAATGATAAACCAAGAAATTAATCATTATTTTGGTTTCTTTTACAAGTTCCTGTTTACACCACCCTGGGGCCACCTGGGGGCGGATTCTGAGTACCGAAGGGGATTTCTACAAATCTATTAGTAATGTAAAAGGTTTCTGTCTTTTGTGATAGCTTTGTAATTTGTATTGATGAAAATGGCTAAAGCTTAAAAGTCAAATAATGATTTACAACCCCCTTTTTTGGTTATATTTACAGATCAGATTGGACTTACACCTGAAGAAGTTATCTCTAAGATTATGGCCAATCCTGATGTTGCCATGGCATTTCAGAACCCAAGAGTTCAGGCGGCCATAATGGATGTATGTGATGCCTCCTAAGTATTTTTAAATTAATCTGTTCAACCTTTTGTTTTCCAGGCTAATGTTTAATTTTAACCGTTTAACATTGCAATGCTTTTGCAGTGTTCACAGAACCCCCTGAGCATTTCAAAATATCAGAATGACAAGGAGGTATGCCCTGATTGTTGTGAAATCAGAAATTTTTTGCCGTTCATGGGAGTAACTTCTTTAACAATACTTAGATGATCACATTTTGTGGGTTTTCTTTTACCCTTAACTAAACTCTCATTTGTAAATTGAGTTTCTTGCACTAAAACATTTATTCGTTTTCTAGCTAGTGTCTTGTCTTCAAAATAATATATTCTTCTATTTCGAAGTTCACTTGGTAGATGCTTTACAGGTTATTTCATGAAACCAGCAGATTATAATATTCCATATAACATTGTTACTACATATAAATTTTAGTAGTCTACTGCCACATTGATTGGATCACCAGCCAAGCACATGAATCTTATATGTTAAGCATTGGTTTCTATTTTGTTGTCTACATCTGCTAGTACTTATTGCAATTTTATATAATTGATTATCTTAAGAGACGATTTATTTATATTGTTTTTTAATCACAGGTTATGGATGTTTTCAACAAAATATCGGAACTTTTCCCTGGGGTGACTGGTCCACCTTGATTTTAGTTTGTTGACAGCTGCTGCTTTCTGGGGTTTATTGTGTTCATTCTTATTTCCAGAGCAATAAGAATTTAATCTGAAGTAGAGACTTAGTAGACATGCAAAAAAATGTGCAAATTCTTAGGTAAATCTTCATCAGATGGCGTTTATGATGTGAGTTTTGCAAGTTTTGTAAGCTAGCTATAAGTATAGTTAGATGTTAACTTCGGCATTATTTGGGTATAAATGGATACATGTTTTATAAAATTTATTCATGTCTTTTAATTTTCTTTTATTTATTTATTTATGAAAACAGATCTGTTATCGATATTTATAAAATTACTCGAAAAGTGTGAATATAGTGTCCAGCCTTTCTAAGAATATGCTCGTCTCTATCACAATCTTGGTTTGTACTTGTTCTTTATCTGCTCCATTTTTGTCTGTGTTTTTGTTGCCGCTGCACATCCCACTATCTTGCTGTGTTTGCAATTGCAAGTTGGGTGAACAGATTACGTTCATAAGTATTTGCGAGACTTGAAAAACCAGGAAGTCATTTTTTGTGAGAGTTAGGTAGTCCTGAACTGTTGCATCGTTTAGTTTTGTTAATTATCTGTTTGGGTCATCATTCAGTCCTACTTCGCTCTATAAATCTGTGGAATTGATAGAGAGAGATGGTACCGCTAGCAGCATTGCTGGTGATTAATATTTTGATTGTGAATCTCCTTAATTTACTTATCATCAATATATGCGTGGTTATATTGTGTTAATGGATTGGTAACAGTTGGTATTTGGTATCAGTGTGATTATGGTATGATAGCATTTCCCATTAAATTATGTGTGACGCATTAACGGGAAGATAAATGCGTGTTAGAAATTTTTGCTATAAACATGAAAAACTAAGAGAAATGTCTGGAACTAGCCATATCAGCAAGCTTCGTTGTTTGAAGAAATCTGTTGTCAACCGTTTTTATTCTCCTTTTAACAGGGCTGTAATGAAGCAAAACAACTAGAGCACTAACTGATCACTATATTCTTGACAATATATCATCAAGCGCAGCGGCAATGTTTTCATAGCACTGCCAAACGCGCGATGCATCTTTATCTCTAGCCGCATAATCTAGCTGCAATGTACAACAGAAATGAATGTCAACTCTCACATGCGAAAGAAGATATATACATCTAGTTATAAGTCTTTAAGATTGACCAATAACCCCTGTGATTGGCTGGAAAGACAAGATTAGAGAGAAACTTTCATGTCACCAAGCATGCTTCAGACCTTAGAAACTTTTGTTTCATAACAGAACAGTGTTGCGCAACTAAGCTTCAGCTTTTCAGCAACACACATGGACACAAAAGAGAAAGCAAATACTTACTTTGGTAACATTGTTGAAGAGATCAGAGTAGAGTTTCCTCAACTGGCGTCTCTCACTTTCAGGTTTTGTTTGGATTATGGTATAGATATCCTGCTTCAAGTACCCCGAGGTCGACCGTAATGCCTTCTGTGCTGCTCCCCAGGACTCTGCCTCTAACAGAGCTTTCACTTGTAACAAAGACTCTGCGTGATCTCTAATCCCACTTTCTGCCTGTTCAACAGTCTGATCAGGAGCAACCAATCTAAAGTCAAATCCATTGGCTATATCTTCCCTGAAAATAGCATCCCGTGCCAACAGTGCTGATGCCATTGCTGCTATCAATCCTATTCTTCTACTGATATTAGATTGAACGACTTTTTGGGACATTCCTCTGGAGTCAAAGGTGGGTTTTTGATAGCAAGTGAAGGTTGGTGTTATGTATGTTACATTGTATTTTGAGACCAATGATCTTAATGCCATTTCTCTTGAAACTCTACCAAAAAGTTTAGCTTGATTGCTGCTCTTATAGTCCAAAGGGTTTTAGCTGAACAAAAGAAACATCTCTCTCTATATTAGTATCTGTATATCTTATCTTGTTAAAGAGCCATGTATTTATATGCATTCTGTGAGAACAGTGCTTCCCGAAAAACATTTGAAAATGCTTTCTAAAAAGACACCTATCAAAAGAATGAACTATCTATAGTTACTTCTTTCAAAACCATTTTTCTGAAATCTCTAACACCACTTGTAATCACTTTTAGCCCAACAAGAAAAAAAAAATGTATAAAAGTGCTTATAACTATCTAAAAAGCGCTTCTGAAGGCATTAAAAAAACAGTAAACTCACCTTGAAACAATAAAGCTGCGCAAATGGAATTTATATAACTGCGCAATGATAAATCTTTATTTCGACACAGGCCATATATTTGCACAAGACTCGAAAAGAAAAGAAATAGATAAGAGATAAGACATGAACTAACTTGTTTCTACAGATACCCTTTAACTTAGCTATTGATGCCATAATTAACTATCTGCTAAAACAACTGAAAATGCATTGCTTTTACAAAACATCGCCATTCATCACAGAGAATGAAAAACAGCTACGGTTAATTTGTTACTAGGCTGAGTAGAGTGAAACCCATTTGAAGTTTAGGGAAACTTGAAAATGGTTTGTATTGACAGAAAGAGACTGAGAGAGAGAGAGAGAGAGAGAGAGAGTAACCTTTTGTGGCTAAGCTTGGGGCTGGTTTGTGCGCCGCTGAAGATGGAGGGAGAAATATCTTCCTGTCCTTTATATGAATGGTACTGTTTACTGTTTTACTTTATAATTTAATATAAAAATGTTTTCTAAGTTCAAAAAATGTGAAAAGATTTTTCTGACGGAACCTTTTTTGCCCTTTGCTTTGCAACATTACAATCAGAACCTTTCCAAAACCCCCAACATCCCCACCACCGCCTGCTTGCCGATCGCCGCTCTCTCTCTAGGGTTTGAGATTGAATTTGGTGCAAAGTGGAAATGTTGACCTGGCCAGACGAAGGCCCCGGGTCGATTAGACCAATTAAACTGGCTGGGTTGGGTTTTTAAAATAGGGTGGAAGTTTCATCATTTTGTACTACAATCCTGGAAGTCAATTATCGGAGTTTATTTAGAAATATTTGAATTGTAGTAGACTTTTTCATTCAAAACTTCTGGGTTTATGTTGCTCTCTCTTGCTTTCACTCCCAGGTATAGAACTAAGTGTGGACTCAGTATTACAGTTTAAGTATCATCATTTTGTACTACAATCCTGGAAGTCAATTATCGGAGTTTATTTAGAAATATTTGAATTTGTAGTAGACTTTTTCATTCAAAACTTTGGGTTTATGTTGCTTTCTCTTGCTTTCACTCCCAGGTTATAGAACTTAATTGTGTGGACCTCATCGTATTACAGTTTCGACATAATGAATTCATTGCATGGAATAGCTGATTAGTTTTATATGCTCCTACATTACTCTTCCACATTTTAAATACATTTTATTGGGTTTAACATATCTTTTGTTATTATTGTTGATGAATGCATAACTCCATTTGATTTGCATATTTGTGTCTGGTATGCTTATATTAATTAATGTTACCTTTTTGGCCATGCTATTGTCTAATAGGGATGCTCCAGAATCCTCAATATCGTCAGCAATTGGAGGAAATGCTGTAAGCTATTTTCAACTTCGTGATTGTTATTGTTTCAGAAGAGCTTATTATCCTTATTGATGTTTATGTCTTGAGCCTTTTTTTTCCTGGAAGTTATAATAGCCACACCTTTGGTTTAGTTGATCTAGAGTTTTACTAGCAATAAGCAATGGTGGATTAATTGATATTCAGTTCATGCTCTTTTCTTGGTTCAAATTTGTAATAGGGTCTGCTATTTCTTTGCTTATAGCGTTGTTCCATAACTCTCTAGTCCGTTAAGAGTCTTAAAAGTTAAGAGTGATTTTTGTTGAAAGTTGAAACTGAGGTGTTGGGCATGGAATTGGTTTCCAACCTTGCGTTTGGTTTCTAGTAATTTTTATACATGGGGCATTAGTTGTTAATGCTCTTAATTTTTTCTTATGGGTAGCAGTTTCAATTTCTTAATTTATACTGATGTTTGTGTATTGGATGCTGAACTTAATTTATATTATTTTGAAACTTTCTGTGGTGTTATTTCTATAAACTTACAAATAGCTACAACCAAGTTTACATCTGGTTTCATCTTCTGTGGAAGTTATTGTTATCTGAATTTGTATTAATATGCCTTGTCTTAGTTTAGATGTTAGAAACAACAACTGCCTCAATTTTCCCAGCACCATGCTTGTGATGTCAACATTTGATCATATAGTAATAATATTGTTTATGAACTCACTTTCTAGTAAGTGTTCTATTGCCAAATTTTATGCTTCTGTAATAGTCAGAAATTGGTTATTTGTGGATCTAAATTGTTTTTTTACAATTGGTGTTTGTTCCAGGACCAATATGGCTGGAAGGAAGAATGGACAAGAGGATGATGGATACCGAAGAACTTTGATCTAACAGTCCTGACATTAAGCAGCAGTTTGGTAAGTTTGAAATTGACTAGTGCAATTATTTAAGCTGGAAAGTTAAATATCTGAGATAGTGTTTGATGTTCGACTTTGAATTTGATGGCCAGTTTAAATGAGTTGTCTTAGCGAGTGCCTTCAGATATGTCCTTTGTGTATTCTGCATTTGCTCTACTTAATATATAGTCACTTCCCGTCAGATGGAATTTAAAGAGATCAGAGCACTTCTAAAGGTGTTTGACATATATGGATGTTGTGGGCCGTTGGCTACTCACCATTTCATTAATGAGTTTATTGGGATCAAGCTCATTGTTTTAAGTACATTGCTATTGTTTTATTATTTTTTCTCTAGGCTTGGTTAGTGCTATTGTGAAATCATATATCTTATAGATCTGGACATAGGCCCGGGTCTTAAACAAAAAGAAGACAATTCATGTTGGAAAGGAAACAAAAGAGCCTTGACCCAATTTATAGAATTATAAAAATAGTCCATAAATATTTTTGTGAAAACTCTAGATTTTTTCTCTTATCACCATGTTGAAAAAAGAACCTAGACCCAATTTATAGAATGAAAACCAAGAAATTATCATATTTGGTTTTTTACAAGTTCGTTTACTACCACCCTGGGGCACCAGGGGGGGATTCTGAGTACCAAGGGGATTTCTCAAATCTATTAGTAATGTAAAAGGTTTTGTCTTTTGTGATAGCTTTGTAATTGTATTGATGAAAATGGCTAAAGCTTAAAAGTCAAATAATGATTTACACCCCCTTTTTTGTTATATTTACAGATCAGATTGGACTTACACCTGAAGAAGTTATTCTAAGATTATGGCCAATCCTGATGTTGCCATGGCATTTCAGAACCCAAGAGTTCAGGCGGCCATAATGGATGTATGTGATGCTCTATGTTTTTAATAATCTGTTCAACCTTTTGTTTTCCAGGCTAAGTTTAATTTTAACTTTAACATTGCAATGCTTTTGCAGTGTTCACAGAACCCCCTGAGCATTTCAAAATATCAGAATGACAAGGGGGTAGCGCTGATTGTTGTGAAATCAGAAATTTTTTACCGTTCATGGGAGTAACTTCTTACAATACTTAGATGATCACATTTTGTGGGTTTTCTTTACCCTAACTAAACTCTCATTTGTAATTGAGTTTCTTGCACTAAAACATTTATTCGTTTTCTAGTAGTGTCTTGTCTTCAAATAATATATTCTTCTATTTCGAAGTTCACTTGGTAGATGCTTACAGGTTATTTCATGAAACCAGCAGATTATAATATTCCATATACTTTGTTACTACATATAAATTTTAATAGTCTACTGCCACATTGATTGGATCACCAGCCAAGCACATGATCTATATGTTAAGCATTGGTTTTCATTTTGTTGTCTACATCGCTAGTACTATTGCAATTATAATAATGATATCTAAGAGACGATTTATTTAATGTTTTTTAATCACAGGTTATGGATGTTTTCAACAAAATATCAGACTTTTCCCTGGGGTGACTGGTCCACCTTGATTTTAGTTTGTTGACAGCTGCTGCTTTCTGGGGTATTGTGTTCATCTTATTTCCAGAGCAATAGTATTTATCTGAAGTAGAGACTTAGTAGACATGCAAAAAAAGTGCAAATTCTTAGGTAATCTTCATCAGAGCGTTTATGATGTGAGTTTTGCAAGTTTTGTAAGCTAGCTATAAGTATAGTGATGTTAACTTCGGCATTATTGGGGATAAATGGATCATGTTTTATAAAATTAATCAGTTTTTTTATGTTGCTTCATCCGACTTGTGAGTAGGGAGGGGCTCTAGAGCCTTCTAAACCTTGTGAATTTATCGGGTTTGTCGAGTTGTTCTTTCCATAAAAGAAGAAATAAGTGAATATTTTAGCTTTGTTTTCCAAATTTAGCATTGGCAATGTAAGTGTAGCAAGTTTATGGATCGCATAACTTGGTGTATGATTGGTTATGATGGTAGTAGGTCATACTATTGATTTTAGTGTCTATCTCTTTGCTGTTTATTACTTTATTTGTTTATTAAATTTTTATTTGTGACAAGAAATCTATCTTTCTATCTGTTGTTAATCATGCTGTATGGGTAAAGTATTGGGTTTGTTAATGTAGGGAAATGTGAAATATTTTCAATAATGATTTTTATTTTGTTGTTTTCTACTACCACTATTTTAAAAGGATCAAGTGCCTTCCTTTCATCACCATTTGAGATTGTGATGTCTTACTCAATGTCCTTAAGACATTATGGCAATACTATTTGAGTTCCATGATTTCGAGGACAGCAGTGATGTTCTAACCAATTGTTGAGATATTCAGAAAGACATTGACTCCAAAATTATCACGTGATATATATCAGCTCCGATGTTAATTGTATTGATGGGTTTCTTTCCGATAGATTCTTTAATCATGCTTAAGATGGATCAATGCCACTCATATTTACTCCAGTTGTACTTTTTGGGATTAATATTGGTGTTTTAGGTTTTACATAGTATTTTTGTTTTTCGAAACTAAATAAATGAAGGTGGTTCTTTTAAATGCTCCTTGTATGTCAGGTTCCCCCCTTTTTGATGTGTTTATATTTTTTATTCATAAGAAGGTCATATTTGCAATTATATAGGTTTCATGATGAAGTTTGTTTAAAATGTGTTGTTGCTTGTCTGCTTGCGTTCATGCATACCTCTGATTTAATATTTGCCTGTGCACTTGTTTATTGTCACTTTTTTTGGTCAGAATTTGATCTAATGCTGGTATTCATTGTGCCTTTCTTGGTACCATATCAGACAATGGTTAGACATTTGGCAAAAAAATTGATATGAATAAATTCTACTTTATGACAGCTGCTAGTTGCTTGAATCATTCCACTTCAAAGGTGGAAGTTCAATTCCACTTCAAGCTTGAATCATTTCACTGTTTTCTCCGGGTTAAACATCTTATGCTCTTATTTATATGTGGACAGGAAAAAAGAAAGGTGCCTTGTCAGTGGAAACTTTGGAGAAAATGATGGAAGATCCAACAGTGCAGAAGATGGTTTATCCGTAAAATAGCTTCTCTTCCTTTTACCATTTTGTGTCTTCTAACTCTTCCAATGGATTGGTCTTGGTTCCACAATTTGTGATTTTCTAATTTTGATCCTTGATTTCATGTTGGCATGTTGATTTAAGTATGTTTGAAGTTGCAAATTCTGTTCTATACGCGATTGAGTTCCTTACCCATCTTGATGACAATAATGGTAAACCTATATGTTGATCTAGTTGGCCCTGATGCCAGAATTAATTCAGTGTTAGCAACCACCTGTTGCCTACAAGCACTATTGGGTGTTAGAGAAATTTGGTTTAAAGGAAGAAAATCTAGGTATCTTAATTTTAGTAATTTTTCTGCAATTTCCATCATACAGAGTTGCCAGTCCAAGGGTTAAATGATTATATCCTATAGGGAAAAGAGATGGAACATGAAATAAAATATTCAAATTTTAAGTTTATGCTAAGCAATTGTGCTTGTGTACTATTATGGCATGTATATCTAAATTCTATCTGCGAACTTGGTTCCTAAGAAATTTGAATCTAAAGTTAGTTGACTTTCATACAATTTCTTTTTTCTTTGTCATAAGAAATCTAATTTTGTTCATGTTTTGGCAGATATTTGCCGGAGGAGATGAGGAATCCTACTACTTTCAAGTGTAAGTCCTACAGTGACATCTCTTTTTCTGAGAATGTTAGGTTTTGGCTCTTCTCCTTATAAAGTTTTAGACAATAGAATCCAATTTAGGTGGAAGCAGTGTTTTAATAACCAACTCGGGGTGCAACTGACAAAGTGGTTGGGTCCTCGGGACCGGTCCACATAAGCGTGTTTAGAAGTTTTGAAATCCAGCAAACTCACCCCAAATGCAAATCGGTGGTTGACTGGTTGGCGGCGGCGGCGGCACACCAGATGCAAATCTCACTCATCCTTTCAGCCATTCCCCAACAAATATGCTTAAGATCTGGCCGAAATCGAACCATTTTGCTTCAAAAAACACCACCGCCGGTGTCGACAACCAATGCCAAATAGGGTCTTTTTCCGTTATTGATAACACTCCTATCACCACGAAAACACTCCCCTCAGCCTCCTGACCAAAACCCATCTCATCCCGCCTGTTTGCCTCTCCAATCGCCGGCAACAACCTGTTATTGTGGCCACGCGACTTTTGCCTTTTCCGGTTGTTTCGCTCATCGGAAATAACCTCTATCGCCACCTTTCAACTTGCCGGCACTTCCTTTCCAAAACCCCCAACATCCCCACCACCGCCTGCTTGCCGATCGCCGCTCTCCTCTCTAGGGTTTGAGATTGAATTTGGTGCAAAGTGGAAATGTTGACCTGGCCAGACGAAGGCCCCGGGTCCCGATTAGACCAATTAAACTGGCTGGGTTGGGTTTTAAAATAGAGGGTGGAAGTATCATCATTTTGTACTACAATCCTGGAAGTCAATTATCGGAGTTTATTTAGAAATATTTGAATTTGTAGTAGACTTTTTCATTCAAAACTTCTGGGTTTATGTTGCTCTCTCTTGCTTTCACTCCCAGGTTATAGAACTTAATTGTGTGGACCTCATCGTATTACAGTTTAAGTATCATCATTTTGTACTACAATCCTGGAAGTCAATTATCGGAGTTTATTTAGAAATATTTGAATTTGTAGTAGACTTTTTCATTCAAAACTTCTGGGTTTATGTTGCTTTCTCTTGCTTTCACTCCCAGGTTATAGAACTTAATTGTGTGGACCTCATCGTATTACAGTTTCTGACATAATGAATTCATTGCATGGAATAGCTGATTAGTTTTATATGCTCCTACATTACTCTTCCACGATTTTGTAAAACTACTTTTATTGGGTTTAACATATCTTTTGTTTATTATTGTTGTATGAATGCATAACTCCATTTGGATTTAGCATATTTGTGTCTGGTATGCTTATTATTTAATTAATGTTTACCTTTTTGGCCGTGCCTATTGTCTAATAGGGATGCTCCAGAATCCTCAATATCGTCAGCAATTGGAGGAAATGCTGTAAGCTATTTTCAACTTCGTGATTTGATTTTTTGTTTCAGAAGAGCTTATTATCCTTATTGATGTTTATGTCTTGAGCCCTTTTTTTTTTCCTGGAAGTTATTAATAGCCACACCTTTGGTTTTAGTTGATCTAGAGTTTTACTAGCAATAAGCAATGTTGGATTAATTGATATTCAGTTCATGCTCTTTTCTTGGTTCAAATTTGTAATAGGTGGTCTGCATATTTCTTTGCTTATAGCTGTTGTTCCATAACTCTCTAGTCCGTAAAGAGTCTTAAAAGTTAAAGAGTGATTTTTGTTGAAAGTTGAAACTGACGGTCTTGGGCATGGAATTGGTTCTTCCAACCTTGCGTTTGGTTTCTAGTAATTTTTTATTTACATGGGGGCATTATGTTGTTAATGCTCTTAAATTTTTTTTCTTGATGGTAGCAGTTTCAATTTCTTAATTTATACTGATGTGTTTGTGTATTGGATGCTGAATCTTAATTTATAATTTTATTTCTGAAACTCTTTCTTGGTTGGTGTTATTTCTGATAACATTACAAATAGCTACAACCAAGTTTACATCTGGTTTCATCTTCTGTGGAAGTTGATTGTTATCTGAATTTGTATTATATATGCCTTGTCTTAGTTTTAGTTGTTAGAACCAACAACTGCTTCAATTTTTCCCAGCACAATGCTTGTGATGTCAACATTTGATCATATAGTGAATAATAATTATGTTTATGAACTCACTTTTCTAGTTAAGTGTTCTATTGCCAAATTTTATGCTTCTGTACTAGTCAGAAATTGGTTATTTAGTGGATCTAAATTGTTTTTTCACAATTGGTGTTTGTTCCAGGACCAATATGGCTGGAAGTGAAGAATGGGACAAGAGGATGATGGATACCCTGAAGAACTTTGATCTCAACAGTCCTGACATTAAGCAGCAGTTTGGTAAGTTTGAAATTGACTAGTTGCAATTATTTAAGCTGGAAAGTTAAATATCTGAGATTAGTGTTTGATGTTTGCCTTGTGAATTTGATGGCCAGTTTAAATGAGTTGTCTTAGCTGAGTGCCTTTCAGATATGTCCCTTTGTGTATTCTGCATTTTGCTCTACTTAATATATAGTCACTTCCAGTCAGATGGAATTTAATAGAGATCAAAAGGAGCACTTTCTAAAGGTGTTTTGACATATATTGGATGTTGTGGGACCGTTGGCTACTCACCATTTCATTAATGAGTTTATTTGGGATCAAGCTCATTTGTTTTAAGTACATTGCTATTGTTTTTATTATTTTTTTCTCTAGGTTTGGTTAGTGCTATTTGGAAATCATATATCTTATAGATCTGGACATTAGGCCCTTGGGTCTTAAACAAAAAGAAGACAATTCATGTTGGAAAGGAAACAAAAGAGCCTTGACCCAATTTATAGAATTATAAAATAAGTCTCATAAAATATTTTTGTGAAAACTTTAGATTTTTTTCTCTTATCACCGATGTTGAAAAAAGAACCTAGACCCAATTTATAGAATGATAAACCAAGAAATTAATCATTATTTTGGTTTCTTTTACAAGTTCCTGTTTACACCACCCTGGGGCCACCTGGGGGCGGATTCTGAGTACCGAAGGGGATTTCTACAAATCTATTAGTAATGTAAAAGGTTTCTGTCTTTTGTGATAGCTTTGTAATTTGTATTGATGAAAATGGCTAAAGCTTAAAAGTCAAATAATGATTTACAACCCCCTTTTTTGGTTATATTTACAGATCAGATTGGACTTACACCTGAAGAAGTTATCTCTAAGATTATGGCCAATCCTGATGTTGCCATGGCATTTCAGAACCCAAGAGTTCAGGCGGCCATAATGGATGTATGTGATGCCTCCTAAGTATTTTTAAATTAATCTGTTCAACCTTTTGTTTTCCAGGCTAATGTTTAATTTTAACCCTTTAACATTGCAATGCTTTTGCAGTGTTCACAGAACCCCCTGAGCATTTCAAAATATCAGAATGACAAGGAGGTATGCGCTGATTGTTGTGAAATCAGAAATTTTTTACCGTTCATGGGAGTAACTTCTTTAGCAATACTTAGATGATCACATTTTGTGGGTTTTCATTTACCCTTAACTAAACTCTCATTTGTAAATTGAGTTTCTTGCACTAAAACATTTATTCGTTTTCTAGCTAGTGTCTTGTCTTCAAAATAATATATTCTTCTATTTCGAAGTTCACTTGGTAGATGCTTTACAGGTTATTTCATGAAACCAGCAGATTATAATATTCCATATAACATTGTTACTACATATAAATTTTAGTAGTCTACTGCCACATTGATTGGATCACCAGCCAAGCACATGAATCTTATATGTTAAGCATTGGTTTCTATTTTGTTGTCTACATCTGCTAGTACTTATTGCAATTTTATATAATTGATTATCTTAAGAGACGATTTATTTATATTGTTTTTTAATCACAGGTTATGGATGTTTTCAACAAAATATCAGAACTTTTCCCTGGGGTGACTGGTCCACCTTGATTTTAGTTTGTTGACAGCTGCTGCTTTCTGGGGTTTATTGTGTTCATTCTTATTTCCAGAGCAATAAGAATTTAATCTGAAGTAGAGACTTAGTAGACATGCAAAAAAATGTGCAAATTCTTAGGTATATCTTCATCAGATAGCGTTTATGATGTGAGTTTTGCAAGTTTTGTAAGCTAGCTATAAGTATAGTTAGATGTTAACTTCGGCATTATTTGGGTATAAATGGATACATGTTTTATAAAATTTAATCATGTCTTTTAATTTTCTTTTATTTATGAAAACAGATCTGTTATCGATATTTATAAAATTACATGAAAAGTGTGAATATGGTGTCCAGCCTTTCTAAGAATATGCACGTCTCTATCGCAATCTTGCTTTGTACTTGTTCTTTATCTGCTCCATTTTTGTCTGTGTTTTTGTTGCTGCTGCACATTCCACTATCTTGCTGTGTGTGAAATTGCAAGTTGGGTAAAAAGATTACGTTCATAAGTATTTGCCAGACTTGAAAAACCAGGAAGTCATGTTTTTGTGAGAGTTAGATAGTCCTGAACTTTTGCATCGTTTAGTTTTGTTAATTATCTGTTTGGGTCATCATTCAGTCCTACTTCGATCTATAAAGCTGTGGAGTTGATAGAGAGAGATGGTACCGCTAGCAGCATTGCTGGTGATTAATATTTTGATTGTGAATCTCCTTAATTTACTGATCATCAATATATGCGTGGTTATATTGTGTTAATGGATTGGTAACAGTTGGTATTTGGTATCAGTCTTATTATGGTATGATAGCATTTCCCATTAAATTATGTGTGACGCATTAAAGGGAAGATAAATGCGTGTTAGAAATTTTTGCTATAAACATGAAAAACTAAGAGAAATGTCTGGAACTAGCCATATCAGCAAGCTTCGTTGTTTGAAGAAATCTGTTGTCAACCGTTTTTATTCTCCTTTTAACAGGGCTGTAATGAAGCAAAACAACTAGAGCACTAACTGATCACTATATTCTTGACAATATATCATCAAGCGCAGCGGCAATGTTTTCATAGCACTGCCAAACGCGCGATGCATCTTTATCTCTAGCCGCATAATCTAGCTGCAATGTACAACAGAAATGAATGTCAACTCTCACATGCGAAAGAAGATATATACATCTAGTTATAAGTCTTTAAGATTGACCAATAACCCCTGTGATTGGCTGGAAAGACAAGATTAGAGAGAAACTTTCATGTCACCAAGCATGCTTCAGACCTTAGAAACTTTTGTTTCATAACAGAACAGTGTTGCGCAACTAAGCTTCAGCTTTTCAGCAACACACATGGACACAAAAGAGAAAGCAAATACTTACTTTGGTAACATTGTTGAAGAGATCAGAGTAGAGTTTCCTCAACTGGCGTCTCTCACTTTCAGGTTTTGTTTGGATTATGGTATAGATATCCTGCTTCAAGTACCCCGAGGTCGACCGTAATGCCTTCTGTGCTGCTCCCCAGGACTCTGCCTCTAACAGAGCTTTCACTTGTAACAAAGACTCTGCGTGATCTCTAATCCCACTTTCTGCCTGTTCAACAGTCTGATCAGGAGCAACCAATCTAAAGTCAAATCCATTGGCTATATCTTCCCTGAAAATAGCATCCCGTGCCAACAGTGCTGATGCCATTGCTGCTATCAATCCTATTCTTCTACTGATATTAGATTGAACGACTTTTTGGGACATTCCTCTGGAGTCAAAGGTGGGTTTTTGATAGCAAGTGAAGGTTGGTGTTATGTATGTTACATTGTATTTTGAGACCAATGATCTTAATGCCATTTCTCTTGAAACTCTACCAAAAAGTTTAGCTTGATTGCTGCTCTTATAGTCCAAAGGGTTTTAGCTGAACAAAAGAAACATCTCTCTCTATATTAGTATCTGTATATCTTATCTTGTTAAAGAGCCATGTATTTATATGCATTCTGTGAGAACAGTGCTTCCCGAAAAACATTTGAAAATGCTTTCTAAAAAGACACCTATCAAAAGAATGAACTATCTATAGTTACTTCTTTCAAAACCATTTTTCTGAAATCTCTAACACCACTTGTAATCACTTTTAGCCCAACAAGAAAAAAAAAATGTATAAAAGTGCTTATAACTATCTAAAAAGCGCTTCTGAAGGCATTAAAAAAACAGTAAACTCACCTTGAAACAATAAAGCTGCGCAAATGGAATTTATATAACTGCGCAATGATAAATCTTTATTTCGACACAGGCCATATATTTGCACAAGACTCGAAAAGAAAAGAAATAGATAAGAGATAAGACATGAACTAACTTGTTTCTACAGATACCCTTTAACTTAGCTATTGATGCCATAATTAACTATCTGCTAAAACAACTGAAAATGCATTGCTTTTACAAAACATCGCCATTCATCACAGAGAATGAAAAACAGCTACGGTTAATTTGTTACTAGGCTGAGTAGAGTGAAACCCATTTGAAGTTTAGGGAAACTTGAAAATGGTTTGTATTGACAGAAAGAGACTGAGAGAGAGAGAGAGAGAGAGAGAGAGTAACCTTTTGTGGCTAAGCTTGGGGCTGGTTTGTGCGCCGCTGAAGATGGAGGGAGAAATATCTTCCTGTCCTTTATATGAATGGTACTGTTTACTGTTTTACTTTATAATTTAATATAAAAATGTTTTCTAAGTTCAAAAAATGTGAAAAGATTTTTCTGACGGAACCTTTTTTGCCCTTTGCTTTGCAACATTACAATCAGAACCAAAGAGTTAATGACTTTTCCCACCATCGTCAAATTTAGACATTGGTTTTAAAAGCGAAAGGGCATTATTGTCAGTTCACACAATATATATCATAAGGTGTGTTACTTACACTCCTAAATTACAAACACATAACATGATAACAATTACATTCATCAACTTTTTTTTCTTCAGTTTTTTCAAATTTTTATATTTTTTTATTTAACATTTCAAAAAAATTTGTGATGAATAAAAACAGGTCGATGTGTACGTCGACCAACTGCCATTGATAGGATCCATTCATCGGCAACGAGTCTGACCACACCACCAGTGCCGTTGGATAGATCAACCGACGATCTATCCAATGGTGTAAACGAGGAGTCCCTTGGTGAAGTCGTTTCATCATAAAATGAATCTTTGCTAGCCTTTTCTTGCAAAATGGCTCCGCTTGAAGACTCACCCTTACTATCGTTGGGTAGATAGCCCGACAATCTACCCAAGGATGCTGGCGATGTCGAAAGCTCCTCCAAGAATGACATTGAAGAGTATTTCACAAAATAGTCTCTAGCGTTTTTCGGGAATAGCCCTAACCGGTGGCATCCCATTTGTGACATTGGATCCATCGTCCACCAATCTACCCAACGACACTGGTTGTGTCGTCGGCGTGGTCACTTCAATCTTTTTTTAATTTTCAAAACATTTTTAAAAAGATTTATTATAATTTTTTATTTTAATAGCTGACCTTTTTTTTTTAATTTATTAACTCTAAAATTAATGTAAACCAAACTAGAAGTGAAATTACATTTAATAAAGTTTGGGTGGGAAAATGTTATTCAACCTCCTTAAAAATTTCAAAGAAAATAGTAAAAGGTATTATTTTTGTTAATTTCTAAATCGGTACATCGTAATACCTGCTCAATTTAACATTTTTTAAAAGATTATTCTAAAAACTATCAGAATAATGAACCAAACGGAGTCATAGTCTTTTTGTAATTTTACCCCTGTCAAGTAACAGATTCCGTTAATTGAGATTGATGATGGGTGGGAAATTGTTTTTCTAAGAGTTATGAGTGGGAAAATATGACTATAGCAAATCTTGGGTGGGAAATTATCACTCACTCCAGAACTAATTTCTAATACAGGACGCCCCATAATTAGTCAAAACACCGTTCCAAATTCTTCACCCACCAAAACAATTTTCCAACCACTCCATCTTCAAATTTACCTTCATGTGACAAAGGAAATCCACACAATCCCCTTCACATCAATTTATAAATCAACATATTAATGCAAACCCCCAGAACTCAACACATCTCTTACTGTCATTACAAGCCAAACAGAGGATAAAATACTTCATTGGAGCTAAAATTGGAAGTAGCACATTATATTTTGCCTGGCACATTGATGTTGAAGTTCTTGTGTACTTCAAAATTGACATTACAAGCTCAAAATAGGCCTAAAATACAAGAATGGAACTTGGAGAGAAAACGATCTGATCACCAACTGCCTACGGACAGATGCAAAGCCTTGAAAATTGAAATTCAACCGATCCCCTTTTACATGGCATTATCATTAGTTCTTGTCTGTACGGAAATAACCACACTTCATATACTAAACAATGATAGTACCTTAATGGCAGTTTAAGGTATAATTTTTCGACAGCAGACTGTAGTATGAAGCAGCTACTTCTAGCAGACACTATCAAATGAGAACTCCAAAATCTCATTGAGGAGGGTCCATTGGCCTGTAGTCTTCTGACTTTGATCCCTACTAACCAAGACCGTTGTAAAAAGGGTGGCACATATGTAGATGTGGGAGAACCTTCCTCACTGACTATAACGTTTAGCATTAACAAATCTCTTGTAATTTCGATTTCCCATTGAAGTCCTGCTTTTCATCCGAAACAAAAAGAAGGATAAACTAATTGCAGATGTTGTATTTTAAAAAAGAAGACTATAATGTAGTAACTAGTAAACAGTCTACATAGGAGAAGTAATAAGGTTACTCACCACAGGCTTGAACAAAATCTTCACTAGCTCATGAGTCACAGGCTTGAACACATCTATTTTTGTACACACTCTGAGCATCTTTCTATCAGCAGAATAAATCAGGCTGATAAGTCATAACAGACTTTCTGATAAGTTAAAATAAAAAGTAAACTAGTGATTATTTTGTGTTAGCAAAGAATATCAGAGAATTAAAAATAATGACATATTATGTAGAGCAATTTTGCCATTAAAAAAAAAAAAAAAACACTAGAGGTTCTATTTCAATCTTGGCTTCTGATATAGTTAAGCTACCATTTTGATTTGAAACATGGATGTATTGCACCTGGGAGTTCAACTGTTTCCTGTACATAGAACAGAATACACTCAGTTTTCATAAGAAGTTGGACCGTTTATTGTGAAGGTAACTGAGAGTTAGGTGCTAGAAATTTGCAGACCTGAGATCATTAACTCTTAGATTCTACACTCTTTCCTCTGTTTCTGAGAACAGATAGAGCTCATTCTTCCTCCTCTCCCACATCAGAATCCCAGACATTTAAATAAGAATCTACATAAATGAAAGGGATATGGGCCATCTAGGACCACTCTCCTCTATGTCTTTTGCACTGTTCCTTCAGCAAATGACAATTTTCAACAGTGAAGTCCACAACTGAGGATGGCAGGCCCCTTCAAAATGATGCGAGATTTGGCCAATCAGGGATCGATAAGTATTTTAATTTCAGGAACCCACCAATTCTCAGCTCAGTTAGGGAGGGTGGCAACATCCTTCTTCAGGAAAAGATGCTGCATCTAGGATTTCATCACTCCAGATGGGCGTAACAGAGGTGAGCTTGTGCAATCCTCAATGAATCAGTAGCCACTAGATATCGAGACTTTCAACTGAAAGTGATGCAGGCAGGCGGGAAGACCTATTTATTTAAAGCTTGAGGTTTGGACAACCAGTGATCAACAAGTTTTAAAGAGAGCTGTGGCTATGGATCCGATCGGGTACGGCTTCAAGTTTCACACATGTTTCTATAGAAACTTCTAGGGTGCTGTTGGGAATCCCTCCTTCCAAAAAGAAAACAAGACTTCGACAATCAGTAATTGAAATCTTACGAAGACAACTAAGATTATGTAGACCATCGGGCATAGATTTAAGATTTTCACAATCACGGATAAAAATATCTTTGAGAGCCCTGTTATCATGTAACCTCTCTGCTATTAGCTCTAACTTTGGACAACCCCAAATTTCAAGGTATTCAAGCGCTCCAGGTAATTGACCTTGTGAGAATATGATGGTGAGTTCTGAGCAAAATGAGACCTCAAGCCTTTTGAGGAAAGGCAATTGGCCCATTGATGATAAAGTAGAGAGATTTGAACAACAGCTGATGCGGAGGTGCTTAAGTGTTGTAGGTAACTGACCTTTCAATGATAAACATGTGATGGATGGGCAGCTGAAGATATACAAGTCATCAAGCTGAGATATGTTGCTGTTGTCAATATTCTCCATCTGCATCATTGAAGAAGAAGGAATGCTGAAATCTTCTCTATCATCCAACAAGCACTGCAGATTCTCGCAATTTTCTACTGACAGTTGTCTCAGGGATGAAGGTAGCTGACCTCTTATAACGCATGTCAAAGAATCACAACCTTTGATTTTTAAACATTCAAGGTGCTTGAGTGTCTTCGGTAACTGACCTTTTGGGGATAAACACATAAGAGATGAGCAGAAGGAGATAGACAAGTGCTTAAGAAGAGATGTGCCAGTGTTGTCAATATTCTCTCTGCGCATCACTAAAGAGGAGGAAGATGAAGTGCCAATATCTTCCATATCATCAAACAAAAACTGCAATTTCTTACATTCGCAAACCTTAAGTTTCTCCAATGATGTCAAGGAATATGATAAATCTCCAAACCAAGTTGGAAATTGCGTGCCACCATAACATTCAATATTAAGTTTTTTCAGATTTTTGTGAGGTTGTAACATATCCAACACGTTTTTCTCAACTTCCTCACTTCGTGAATCTTCATGACCATATCCCCATCTTAGCCATAACTCGTCTAGCTTCTCCTGATCACTTAATATTGCTTCTTGTAAACCTGCAGTAACATTTTTCAATTCTGAAATGCAAAGCTTTCCACAAAGAAACTTTAAGTTTTTTAAAACATTCAAGTTTGATCCAGTGCCTTTGCCAACAAAAAAATTAGACAATGTTCGGAGATACTTCAAACTTTCCATTCCCTGCGGCATCTCTAGTAACTTTACCATTTCAATATCTAGATGGCGTAAATTGATCAAATTTCCGATGGAAGGTAACTTCTTGATGTTAGAACACCATCTTAATATCAAAATTTGTAAGTTCAATAATGAGTTTATTGACTTGGGTAAACTTGAGATCTTAGTGCCATAAAGGTTGAGATACCTCAAATGTCTTAGATCTCCAATTGAATCTGGTAGCTCGGTAATATTATGATTACTCAAGGACAACACCCTTAATTTTTTGAACTTTGGTAACAATTCTCCCGGAACTAAATTAGTTGTGTAATCACTGTCAAGAAGTATTGGAAAGAATGTCCTTAAGTTCCTAGCTTCATGGAATACTTCAAATTTATATTTGCCATTAGACCTACCATAAGTGCAAGACAAATGGCGAACCTTTTTTAGTCTTTCTGATTGGATATTGACCTTTGATTTGTCCTCTAACCGAAAACTTGTTTCTCCAGAAGCCCATCGTGCGAGATCATTAACAAGATCATGCATTAAATATTTAGAACTATATCTACTGCTTGATCCTTGAAAAATTGATCTTGACAATAAATCTTGAAAATACGCACTACCTATATCTTCCAGTTCCTCCTCGACTTTCAATGGTTGAATAAGACCTTCTGCCATCCATAAAAAGACAAGTTCTTTCTCTGTAAATTCATAATCCTTTGGGAAAATTGCACAATAAGCGAAACATCTTTTCAAATGGGAAGGAAGATGGATGTAACTTAATTTTAACACTGCAAGAATCTCCGTATTATCTTGCATATTCCATATATTACTGTTCAATATATCTTCCCACTCACCATCTCTCTGTTTGCATCGTAGAAGATCACCAAGAGTTCTTGCAGCCAAGGGTAAACCTTTGCAGTTTTCAATAACCTTTTTACGAACAAATTCTGAAGTTTGATGTGGATCAAATTTTGTACTCTGAAATGCATGCTTCTCAAATATGGCCCAGCAATCATCTCCAGACAGAAGGCCCACATTATGATGTTTAACATGTCCCATTGTTAATGCAACATCTTCATTACGTGCGTCATGATTATTCTACTCCCTGATGCTCCAACCAGTAAAGGAGACTTAAGAATTTCCCACAAACCATAATCCTGACTCCAAACATCATCTAATACAAGCAAAAATTTTTTGTCGTGTACTTGCTCTCTCAGTTCAATCTGAACTTGATTTAAATTTGTTAGATTGCAGGGGAAGCTAGTGATTGACTCAAGGATTGCTTTGGAGATTCTCATAACATCAAAATCATCTGAGACACACACCCATGCTTTTGGATGAAATTCTTTCAGTGCTTTGTCATTGTACACTTCGCGAGCAAGCGTTGTTTTACCAATTCCTCCCATACCAACAATTGGTATAACACAAAAGTTGACATCACCCTGTTCTTCCTTTAACACCATTTCAAGTATTTTGGCTTTATCGTCATCTCTCCCATAAACAACAGGTTCAATTGGCAAACATGTAGTTGGTGGTCTTTGCAATACAGCAGTTGATATCCCCCTACAAATCTTCTCCAGTCCAAGATAATCTCTTTCTTCACATAAATCTTCCAAACGGCCATTTATCTCTTCTATCTTGGACTTCATATTAAGCTTGGACACCAGAGCTCCAGTAAAAGAAGAAAAATAATCAGTATTGTGGCTGGTAGGTTGTTCTCTCGTCAACTTGCTCTCCAAAACTTGAGTGGCATACTCATCCAAAACATCATCCATATCATAAGACAAGTCTTGGAGATCGTCCAACCACATTTTCACAGCCCTGTTAGACATTTGCTTATCCTCTGCATCGTCTAGCACTGCCTGAATCATAAACAACTTTTTCTTCCATTGCTTTAACTGCAAACCTATCCCATCTTCAAATAGAAAAGACAACAATTTACGATCTGCCAATCTGTCGAACAAAACTTCAAGGAATGCACCAAGACAGACCTCTCCCACAGGCATAGTTTCAGTTCAGTCTGAAGTTAAAAAAAAGAAGATTATCCTGAAGATAAGCAATACAAAAGAGTGTAGATTTCAGTGGGGATGAATGTTTCTATAGACATTATAAATGAAATTTAAAACAAAATTCAATGAAAAGAAAGAAAGAAAGAAAGAAAGTACAACAAAGTACATATACATGAATATTGGTTTTTAAACAATAGAGAAAAAACTTAAAAAAACAAAAAACTAACAAGAGGGCAAAAACTTGACTATTAGAATTATGGCTAATTTTTTACTCCACCATACCTTCCCTTGTCATCCCAAAGTACCAACTTTTTTGATACGACCTAAAGAGTTTGAGATTTTTTGTGACTCATTTTCTTTAATTTATTTCTAGTAATCTCCCAAAATCTTCATACTCAAATAAGATTTGCATCTAAGTTCGGCTACACAAATTTACTTTTAACATTAAACTTTAAAAATTGGAAAGACAGTGAATTGTTAATTACCATCGTTCATTATTGATAATCTAATTGAGATACCGATTATAAGGCAAAAAAACTAATAATCAGCAAAAACAACACAAGAAAAGAAAACACATCCACAAAGAAAATATTTCATGAATTGATAACGGCAAACACTAAGTTATCATATAGTTTTAGTAGTTGAATTGGACTTAATAAGAGCTTCATTGAACATTTTAATAAACCTTAAAGGAAAAGCAGAATCGTTTTGTCTGCCTGGAGTGTAGAAGAACATAACAGAACGAGCAGAAATGAAATGAAGTTTGATTAATCTCTAATTAACATTAATAGATATGGGTCGATATGAAGAGTAAAAATCTATGAACCTTGCATAAATATTAGACACAAGGTAAAAATTGAAGAGTTTCATTTGCCTTCTAAAAGCAAATTCTTTTTACAACTAAATATCCATCAGGGCATCAAGCTATCAACTACAATATTTAAGACATATTCATAAAATTTAAAAAAAAAAAAAAAAAAATTGCAGAAAATTTTGATTTTGAGTGCTGCAAAATTATTCTCCCACTAGAGAGATGTAAAATAAGGCAAGATCTAAATATGAAAGTGACTAGGATTATAATCAATATGAGGATATTAAGAAACTGATAATTATACATCCAAATTTGAAAAGGAAAATAATATACAAAAGAATTTAAATACTTCCATTTGCGTACCTGAGCGCTGGCAAATTAAGAGCAGAAGAGTTTGAGAGAATGTGTGAGAGAACAGAAACAGTTTTCGTATATATAATTATATGTTAATTGTAAAAAAAAAAAAAGGTCAATGACACGTATTCAAGAAAAGATAAGACGCAATGTGACAATTATGGTCTATGTTTAATGTTTGGAACAGGAAAACGAAGCCGTGCTGAGTCTGCAGTCTCTATGTCTGCACCAACATCAGGGGGTGTGATGATATTTTTCCAAACAACAAGGGGCCAGTGGAAATTATTATTACCCTAGAACAAATTGAAGCTTGGAATGGAAAGATGAGATTAATTATTTCATCATCAATATATAAAACAATAATTTTGTAGTCCCCTCCATGGCTGCATGTTGAGAACGAGTTTTAAGCTTCAAATTTAAGTACTTTATTGAGATCAATACTCAAATGCGGTAATTAATTTTGGGTTTTTAACTTGTTCCTGTTAGCCACGCAAAGTTTAGTACCACGATTCAAACTCTAAGATATTTTGAAGATCAAGCATGTTTAAAAACGTCATAAAGAACAGAAAATGTCTAGCTCAAGTGCTCTATATACAATAATGGTGAGGCGAACCTAAAGGGAAGTTTACCAATCTCAAACTTAATTACACTCTTTTTCCTTATTTCAAATTTAAAACTTACTTTTTTTTTTTTTGTTATAATTGAGGGTATCCGGATCAACTTACGAGTACCTCAACTAATCCTCCAACATTTTAGAACTATTGACCGAATAAGAGCTCTGATGGTCACATATATTAAGAATCGAGGGTATACTCGAACTCATGACCTTTTGAATAATATACTCAAAAGTCTCTGTTGAACCACTTGACCATCTGGGTGTAGGTTAATTTTAAGGAAAAAAAAAAAAAAAAAAAAAACTTACTCTTAATTCTTTAGAATCATTTCATTATTGAAATAAAACGAAATGTTTCAATAATTATGAAAATTTAGAACTAAAGATATGAAAATCTAGAGTTAAGGTTTATATAGGATTAAAAATTAATAATTAAAACAATAATATAAAAATAAAGTTAAATGTATTTAAAAATTATAATGTCATTTGTAATTAAAAAAAAATACATTTGAAAGTGAGGGATGCTGATAAATTAGGTGGGCTAAAAATCACTTCCCTAACCTAACCCCTTATCTGACCACGGCCACAAGCATAAACTCACGTATTCACCATTCGGGCTATCTTTTATAATTGGGGAAATGATTTTTATTTCACTATTTTTGTAAAATAACCTCCATCTTCAAGCTTAAGTAGAGATATAATTGTAATAAAAAAAATTATTTTTCTTCATCTTCCATATTTTTACTTCAAAACTTTATTTGCAGTTTTAAAAAAAAACTTGAATCAATTAGAATTAACAATAAACATGAGAACAAATCAATTAATATTGTTATCATACAATTATAAATTAATTTTTTTAGAGAATTAAAATCTCAAAGCTCTTACAATCAATTAATCACTTTTAAATCCATCTAAATAGAAGAAAAATCTTGTTTTATTTCCATTTAAAAAAAAATAATAATCAAATATCACAAATTCTTAAGGAAATTTGTGATAACTGCTTTGATGGATTTTGTCTCTTACTTTATTGTCAATTCAGATTATATAAAGCTTTGAAGTAAAAGTATGAAAATGAAGAATTTTTTATTTTTATTTTTTTTATTACAATTATATCCTGCTTGAACTTTTAAGATGGGAGCTAAAGACAAAAACAGTGAGGGCCAAAAACTATTTCCCTATAATTGAGCCTGTAAAGGTCTAAACTCATTGCTAGGCCGGTTAAAGCCCAGTTGTTAATTAGGCTTCTATGGCAGCCCAAACCCAGGTTAGGTTTTCCTATTATAAGCCCAGGTTATGAGGAGGCCCGAGTTACCAATAGTTAAGCCTGATCCACATCTTACCAGGGCCAGACAGCCCAAGCCTATGTATTTGGGCTCACTTTGAAATTGGCCTTTTAAAGTCTAAGCTCTTTACTAGGCCTTAATTTTCTTAGTCTATCTAAGCCCATATGCAATGGTTTCCAAGCCAACCCAAATTCTGAGGTGGCTTTTTTTATTACAAGCCCAAGTAGGGGTTAATCAGATCCATTGGCTGAAGCCCGGCCCGTCTGTTTCTAACCAGAATAGATAACCCAAACTCATATTTTAATTTTACATCAGACAGATGGATCATTTAAATTTGATCCACCGTCAAGGTCGGACAAATGGATCACATAAATCATGCATTAGGCAGTGTAGGAACTAGGAAGAATCAGAACACCCGCACCTACCTTAATAATAACTGCCAATATAAATAGAACCCTCAGCACTCGACAGATTTGGGCGCGACTCTTTCTTTCTTAACAAAATGCGAACCAGACACAATTCCAAGACACAAAACGCCTCTTCAGGTCAGTTCTTCAGTTTCTTTATTTGGTCTTTGATTACAATTCATTTATCATTTTTTCTTTCGAAACTTCTGAAAACATTAAATTTGGTTAGGTAATGAGAATGCAATGAGAGCAGTGACAGGTTCAGAAGGCGGGAGTCGTGTAGGGTCACGGAAAGAGAGTGGTTCTGTTTGCTTAAACTCTGGCTGCTTTAATTTTATCTTATTTAGATAGTTTAGAAGTGGTCCGTTTTGCTGAAATCAGTGTTTGGTTGTTGTAGGAACCCTTGCTGAGACATCAAGGGAAGCAGTAGGGAAACTTCTTCGACGACGTGCTAATGCTCGGGGCTCGAAGGGGTCTGAGAAAAAAGATAACCCTGTTGGCACGGTGAGTAAGTAACAGCTTGATATGTTGCTGACCTAGGCTAGAGTTATTAGAGAATTTGAATGTTCTTTGTTTGGAATTCAATGGCAGGTTTTATATCTTCTGATTTGTGTCTTGTCTTACTTTTAGGCGAAGAGTGGAACTAAAGTTCATGAAAATCAAGTTTTAGATAAAAGAGTTACATGGAATGATGTGGATGCCGGAGGGTGCAGTAAAGATGCAATAGGCAACTCGTCAATGGAAGTTGATGAGGAGAGAATTGAAAGACTTCAGGACAATCTTTTGGACAAAAGCGAAGAAATGGACGACTCAGATTGGGAAGATGGTTCAATTCCTGTAAACCATTCCACGGAAAATGATCCGGAAAGTCACATTAAGGGGGTCACTATTGAATTTGATGCAGAGGATTCTGCTAGACGGAAGCCTGTTCGTCGAGCTACTGCTGAAGAGAAGGTGAACTTCATTTTTCCAATAGCATTCAACATAATCTTATAATAATACCTTTTTTATGCTTTTTTGCATGTACTTGAGAGTTTCTGATTTTTCTCACAGGAATTGGCTGAGCTTGTGCATAAGGTCCATCTACTCTGCGTACTTGCAAGGGGCAGGATAATTGATGGTGCTTGTGATGATCCTCTTATTCAGGTTTTCTTTTTTGTTTGTCTTGTGGTTTATAATCAATTTCACCTCACTGGCATTCCTCTTTTTGCTATCTGGTTATATCTGTTCATATGCTTGGCACTGACATAGTCTAAGTATCCTTGTTTGTGTATCTGATGGGTATCTGTGATGTTTAATTTACTTCTTGTAAGTCAGTTTAGTGTAAATTGAATTTAGCTTCACCTACCTTGGATTGTGTTTAGAATTAGAGAAGTACTGATAGTATTTGGATATTTGAACAATCTTTCTCTGTAATTGTCTTTTTTAATTTTTAATTATGCTGGGTAGCTCTAACTCTTTCTCTCTCTTTTTCAGACACACACACACACAATTGGAAGTAGGAGATAAAAAGTGTCTTATGAAATTTAGTTATCATGACAGGCTTCTCTACTTTCTCTTCTGCCAGCATATGTGTTCAAAGTATCGGAGGTCTCAAAACTTACAGCTAGAGCTTTATCTCCGATTGTCAATTGGGTATGGTTACAGTTACTTTTTTGCACCAGCCAGTTAACCTGGGTTATAGTTTCATGATTGATTGTCCTATCTGTTGATGTCTTTGTCTCTACTTTGCAGTTTCATGACAACTTTCATGTTAGAAACTCAGATAGCACAGGGAGATCATTTCCTTCAGCTTTGGCCTATGCTCTTGAAAATCGTGAAGGCACTGCAGAGGAGGTAGTTCCTGGTCCCTTTTACTAGAATCTTCCTGAAGATATAGATCTCTTCTTACTAGCATTAGAGTCAATACTGCCTATGATCAACAAATGGCCTGTTTTCAGGACTCATTTATTCCTTTTAATGTTAAACTTTTGCTTTTTTATTTTTTTTATTTTCCTACTAAATATCATTTGTTAGAGGGTTGCATAAGCATAGCATAGAGTAGAAGGGATAACTATGCAATATCTGCATTTCAAATTTAGTAACTACCACAGAAAGTGGATTGCAAATAGAAACATGTGAAATGGAAATAACTTGAGCGACAATCCTTGTTATGACTTCCCAGTATGGCATAGAGTAATCAGGGGAACTATGTGATAACCCTTGGTATGGAAACAGCTTCTGATAGCAACACTGGCTAGCTGTACCTAGGGTTTACCCACACCCCTACTTGGATGACCAAGTCAACTTCTTTCATCTCTTTTCCATATGCAGGCCACTAACTAATTTCATCGTACATTATAATTGAAAATTCTCCTCGTTTTTGCTTTGCTTTGCTTTTGATGATCCCTTTTATCATTCCCAATCTTCATTATTGGCAAAATTTTACCTCAATGGTACACTTTGTTGAGAAAAAAAAAATGTCTTTGTGGAAGAATAAATAAAACACTAACATGTATATTGGTTACTCTTTGAGGGAGAATTGAAGGGTTGATTTTCTTGCAGATTGCGGCATTGTCTGTGGCATTATTTAGAGCTTTGAAGCTTACAACCCGGTATGGTTATAACATAATTGTGGGCACAGCCTATTAGCTGATATTTATGCTTTTATTTTTGTTACTTTTGCTTTTTCTTCCTTTAATTTCTTTTTTCCTTTTTAGAACAAATATTACTTCTTTAAGATGGTATTTAGTTCATGTTTTAAGAATTCCTTTTATTTTGATGATGATTTAGTGATTTGATCTCTTTCTAAGTTGTAGACTTTATATCTTATATCAAGGTGGTGTATAAAATCATCGTATGAGACTCTAGTTGTTTCCACTTTTCAGGTTTGTGTCTATTCTGGACGTTTCCTCCTTAAAACCTGAGGCTGATAAAAATGAATCTTCAAGTCTAGATGGTGGCAGAAGTGGGGGAATATTCGGTTCTCCAACTCTGATGGTAAGCCGACCAAAAGAAGTTGCTTTGTCTTTGGATAAATTAATTTCCTGCGACAAAAAAGAGAATGTATGTGAAATTTCTTCAAGGGGTTTATCCAAATGTAAGAATAGCAACCCAACAAGCTACAATACTCAATCCAAAAAGTCTGCCATACCTGATGAGTTGAATGATAGAGCTTCGGATTCATTGTCGTGTGATGCACACTGTGATACCTCTGAAGCATGCCATAGCAAGGAATCTCAGGGTTTGAAGAGGAAGGGGGATCTTGAGTTTGAGACGCAGTTGCACATGGCTCTTTCTGCAACAGCCGCGGGGAATTGTAAAAGTAACTTAGGGTCTGATGAGAAGAACCTGAATAGTGATGAAAATGTCTCTTCTCCATTCAAAAGAATGAAAAAGATTGAAAATATAGAATCCTCAACTTCTCATGAGGGAATATCCACTGCAGTTGGATCGAGAAAAGTAGGATCTCCTCTGTATTGGGCAGAAGTATACTGTAGTGGTGAGAATTTTACAGGAAAATGGGTACATGTTGATGCTGCCAATGCGATCATTGATGGAGAGCAGAAGGTAGAAGCTGCAGCTTCTGCATGCAAAATAGCTTTGAGATATGTAGTTGCTTTCGCTGGGCATGGAGCGAAAGACGTGACCCGCAGGTTATGTGTGCTCCTTTGTTACTTGCTCTGCCTGATTGAACATCCATTTACTTTCTAATTGAGACCTAACCTTTGTTTGCAACTGTTTGTATACCTGTAGATATTTTTGCACTATCTGTTGTTTCTGGATAGAGTTATGAGTTGAATTGTTGCTAAAGTATTACCTTTGGAATATTCTTCCTTTAATTTCCATTGGCATCTAATGGGCCAATTCACTTGTATGTATGTCTTTTGTGTACGTTGTGTTACTGCAAAGTGAATTGGCATGGTGGATAGCTATTACTTGACATGTCTACAGAAGTGATCCTAATTTGAGGTTTTATTTTCTTGTTGCTGTTTTTAAACCTTGAACAGATGTGGCTTTTTGAAAGTTGAATCTGGATTCTCAAAAGAGAACTATAATAGGCAATTAGTATTATACTAGTAAATTAGGCATTTAAAAATAATAAGGATCATTGGCATGTACTTCAAAAACTCTGAAGTGGTTGGCAGTTACCACTACATTGTTATAAACATCACAATAAACACATTCGAGATAACGATAAGAGCACTTCTTGTGGTGATGATGTTGCGCAATTTCACTGTCTTGAAGGTTGAAAGGGAACTCAGAATTTCAGGGTTTACTTATCTGTGCTATTGTACGGACTTTGATCATAAACCTCAGATGGAGGCCTAGTTTTTTAATTTGCAATTAACACTGTAGTAACAGTGTTTTACTTGTAGGGGCTTCTGGGAGAATTGTAGAATAGCATTGTTATGTTAGTGAAATGTTATAATCAACCCATGATTATTTGTTCAGTACTTGCATGTGCTTTCACAAACATGTTACTGTCATACAAAAGAAAAAGAAAATTAAAGGGAAGAAATAGCTAAAAACCTCATCTCCATGCTCTTTGAAGTGGATCACATTGCTATTGTATAGGTTTTTAATTATTCAGTCTTTCCCTTTTCCCCTGGTTAACAGAATTCTAAGCTCTCCGTAATCATTTTGTCATGCTAAAAAGTTTTGACAGAATTAAAACAATTGGAGTAGTTAGGATGCATATACTGATTTTTATTCCCTTTTAATAAGGAATGAAAGAGTGGAAATTTCTTTAATAGTTCCATGCAGAATAAATTAGTTACTCAGGATTCATCAATCATGTAAAAATTTAAATAAAATAATATATTTTTTTTAATCTAAAAATGGCTTTATGCTTGCCTAAATTTCAGAGACGTGATAATCAGTTGTTACATGATGTTTATGCTCCGAGGCATTGTGCCTAATTTCTTCCTTTGATAGTTATGTTCACGTTGCAATTTAAATGCTGTTAGTTGTTACAAAACTATTAGTACGGCTTAAAAAATTTCATGTGTAATTCAAGCTTTTTGTCCCCCTCATTACAAGAGTTGTTGCTGATGTGTTGTCATCTTGCAGATACTGTATGAAGTGGCACAAGATAGCATCAAAACGAGTTAATCCTGGCTGGTGGGATGCAGTTTTGGCACCGTTGAGAGGGTTAGAGTCTGGAGCAACTGGAGGTACGATGCATATGGAAAAAAATCATGGGAACTCGGCTGGAAATTCTGGCCATAATGTAGAATCTTCTGTTGCTGCCAGGAACTCACTTGAGGATATGGAATTGGAAACTAGGGCACTAACTGAGCCTCTTCCCACTAATCAGCAGGTATCGTGTTTTCCTTTTCCATTTTGAAGGATCAATTAATTGGTAATGTCAATTACATGGTTTTATTATCTTCTACTTTTCTTATGCAGGCCTACAGAAACCATCAATTATATGCTATTGAAAGATGGCTTAATAAGTATCAGATAATTCATCCAAAGGGCCCCGTTCTTGGATTCTGCTCTGGTCATCCAGTTTATCCTAGGACTTGTGTGCAAACACTCAAGACAAAAGAAAGATGGCTGCGGGAAGCACTACAGGTTAAAGCCAATGAGCTTCCTGTGAAGGTCTGGTCTTGATAATGGGAAATGTAGGAATTAATATATTTGATGATTGACCATTATATGGCTTTTTCATTTACATAAATTAATTTCCTCTTCAGGTGATAAAGAATTCTACAAAACTTAAGAAAGGACAGGTTTATGAAGCTGAGGATCATGATGAAGTTGATTCTAAAGGAAATATTGAACTTTATGGGAAGTGGCAACTGGAACCGTTGCGTCTACCTCATGCTGTCAATGGCATTGTTCCAAAGGTGACTTACTACCATTTCTCATGGATGTGGGGTTTGGTTCATATGTAGTTTATTCTGTAGTAAATGAAATAGGCGAAAGGATATATCTGTTACATAACACACATGCACATGATTAATTATTGCTGTGAAAAAAACAAGAAATGTGGCATAAAACCTCAGAGATAGGTGTAGGTGCAGAGATGTAGAATATAGTGATGGTACAATTTAAAAGTTCTGGCCTTTAGTAAGTCAACAAATTTTAGTTTGTTTCCTCAGCCTTATTATAGTTTGTTGTTCGGTTATTTATTTAATTGTACAGAGTGTTTTCATTTTTTTATTTTTTGATCGGAAACAATAAGTTTTATATATTAAAGAAGAGATTGAGATAGGTATATTACTGCACTAGAGATCCACAAAAATATCAAAAAACCAATGAGGGGAACAAATCTATACAAGATAGTGACTAATGTTTCCTGCCCTATGTGAAAACAAGCAAACTCTACAAAGTTAGCCCAAAGCCCCCTCCCAGTTAAGATGAATAAAGAAAAAAAGAAAAGTCCTTGAATTCCTTTGAAACTGAAGCCCTAATAGAAGCAAAAATTCTTATCCTATCACATAAGGCCTCACTGTTATTGTCTCATTTTTTTTAATTAAATTACAGGAATCAAGTGAATCAATATCTTAAAGAATATATATCTATGGATTAGCTGGGGATGATTGAAAATTTTTGAAGACAACTTTTTTGGTATTGTTTAACATTGGGTTTATTTTTCTTAAATGCAGGTTAAGGTCCAATTGTTGGAGTTATATAAAAACCTAGGATAGATGTAACTTAATAATTGAATGTCAATAAACAAAAGAAGAAAATAGCATAAATTGAATGCTGATATTGCATGGTATGGGTATTTACTGACTATGGTGTAAATTGATAAATGATTGTACGGTTATATTGAGCTTTTATTGGTATTGAAATAACTTTGTGTTTTGACTGAGAACTTATATTCACCTAGAAATGTTAAAGCTACTATTAAGCTTTTCATATTGTGGTGTACTTTTGCTTTCTGGTTTATATATATATATATATGGGAACTAGGGAGTGGTTGGATTGAGCTTGCATGCTTATGCATGAATTTTCTAGGACTTGTTTGGTACATTAGTTGAAATATGATATTCTGAAAAAGTATTCTGAATAGGATATGATAGGATTTTGAGAATGTGTTTGATACATTTTTGGAAAACATTTTCTGAAGATTATTTTTTAGCACCCTACATTTGTTAATTTAGGTAAACACCCCTTCACAATGAAAGTTTATAAATTAACAGAAACATTCACACCCACTCAACCGACTACCAGCAGCCGGCAGCCGGCAGCCGGCAGCCGGCCGATTCTGCGTCGTTCCGGCACCGACGATGGTGGCAGCCGGCAATGGTTGCTGGCGGTCAACAGTGACTTGGTTGAGTGAGGGTGTTTTTGTTTATTTATAAACTTTTATTGTGAAAGGTAATTATTAAATTTTTTTAGTTGAATAGAATATGATTGGATTTTGAATTGAATAGTCAATATTAAAACAAACATGTTTTTTTTACTATTTAGGATGGATAGCATAATAGAATACACTTTTAAAAAGTGTACCAAAAGGGGGCTAGATATTTAGAATTTTATGATGGGATTTTCTTGGTGTTCGAAAGAAGGGTAATATTTATGATTTCACAGTGTCTATAGTATGGGCATTTGGTGAACACTTTTTCAATTGTACACACTAGATTTTTTTTTTTTTTTTTTTTTTATTTTTTTTTTTAAGGTGGGCATTTTTGCTGTAGAATATTCATTCACTTTCGCAACCTTCATCTGGTTTTTTAATTTGACTTACAAACATGCTGCACTAGTTTGAGAAAGCTTGAAAATGTGCAAGCACATTATACTTTACATTCAAATTCTAATATTCATTTCTGTTTGTTTGTTTTAAAGTTCTTTATGAAAGTGTATTATCAATGACAGCTGATCCCTGTTTTGATTTCTAGAATGAGCGTGGTCAAGTCGACGTGTGGTCTGAGAAGTGCCTTCCACCAGGGACGGTACACTTAGGGTTGCCTAGGATTTTCTCTGTGGCCAAGAGGCTGGAAATTGATTATGCACCTGCCATGGTTGGTTTTGAATTCCGAAATGGTCGTTCTACTCCTGTCTTTGATGGTATTGTGGTCTGCTCTGAGTTCAAGGATATAATATTAGAGGTAATGACATAATAATTGTGTTCTTTTTTTTTTTTTTTTTTTTTTCCAACTCAGAAAATGTCAATATATGCATTTCATTATTCGTGTAATGAAAATGCTTAGTTGTCATGAGGTTTTCCCGACTGTTATCATAACTTACCATGATATACTCCTATTTTCTTCCAGAATTTTAACATTTGGCAGAAAATTCTTTTATCTTAAAATCTGTTAAGTACTTGTTCTCCAGGGATATGCAGAAGAAGAGGAGAAAAGAGTAGCCGCAGAGAAGAAAAGGAAGGAAGCACAAGCTATTTCTAGGTGGTTTCAACTTTTATCTTCCATTGTAACTCGACAAAGGTTAAACAACTGCTATGGGGATGGTTCATCTTCACAAACATCCAGTGCCATACAAAACATAAAGAATAATGAGTCAAATCTTCGGGTTGGTGATAGTCAGGATGATAAGCAATCTCAGGAGTGCCGTAAAGTAGATACACGGGACGCCAAACTAGATGCTGCTTTGGTGGTAGTAACAGCAGAGCATGAGCATGATTATTTGATAGAGGATCAGAGTTTTGATGAAGAGAACTCTGTGCGGACGAAGCGTTGTCATTGTGGCTTTACAATCCAAGTTGAGGAGTTTTAGTTATCAAAATGATGGTGCTCTATTTATTATGAGATAAAGAAAAGAAAAGATTTTGTTTAGTCGTGTAAGGTGGTGTAGCATAAGTTGATTGTATTTTGATTAAATGTACAGAAAGTCAAGTCGGAATCGCCTTATGTTTGTGATCCATTTCGAGTATGTGGCAGCATTATATTGCACACATGCAATAATGTTACGGGGACATCGGTATTTTTAGATCAAAATTTTGTATTGATTTACGTGTTTTATGATTCACACTAATAAATCAGACACGTTTTATGTTATTAAATTTTGTTTAGTGAACGGTCGTTCATCAAATATGATGAATCATTCGTTTATATGGACTCTTGTCTATATTATATGGATGAGAATTTATTTATTACGTACGAACGTTCTTATTTAAAGGACACTTATCTATTAATAAAATGAAATAAAAAAATATAAATAAAATTAAGGGATGGCTGTCCCAAAAAATAGATTTTAACGTCTTGCGGACTGCTGTCCCAAAAAATAGATTTTAACGTCTTGCGGACTGCTGTCCCAAAAAATAGATTTTAATAATAAAATTTTATTAAACAAAATTAATGGAAACGTCCATCCATTAACAATGCTTTTAAAAAATAAAAAAAAAATTGGACGCCAGTCCACAAATGGACAGTCGTCCCTCATGTGCCACCAGTTTGATACAACAAAGAGAGTCAAGATTTCTAAAGATTTTTGACAGCATCTAGGGAAGCAAGGTCGTTTCTGACAGCATTTTTGAGAAAGAAATTGATAAAAGAAAAATTACAGATTTTTGACAGCATCTAGGGGATGAGGCGAGTGCTGAGGTGGTAGAGTTGAAGAAGAGTCTGGGAGAGAAGGGAGTGAAATTGGAGGGATTAGATAAAGAAATTGATGGGTTGATAGTGAGAAGAAAGTGCGGGAGTTGGAAAGAAAAGTTGGGACTTTGGAAGTGAGGGAATTGGAAGAGAAGAGTAAAAGCGTGAGAGTTGAAGAGGAAATGAGGGAAAAAATTGATGACAAAGAAAGGGAAATTAGTGGGATTAAGAAGAAAGTTAATGTTTTGGAGTCTGAATTGGATAAGTGGATAGCTGAGAAGAAGTCAGTGGAGGGAAGTTTGAAGGAATCAGAGAGCAAATCCAAGGAAATGGAGGCCAAGATTACTGAGTTGGAGAAAGAGATTGATGAGGCGAAGACGTGATTAGTGGACTCGAGGAGAAGATAACTTCCAGTTTGGGGACGGCCGTCTAGAAATGGTGAACGGTTGTCCTTTTATTTTATTTAATTATTTTTTTTTTTTTTTAAAGTATGGATTGGCGTCCCTTACATGAGGATGCCAGTCCACATGTTAGGGACGGCCGCTCATAAGTTAGGGATGGGTGTCTAATTTTTTTTAATTTTTTTATATTTATATTATCGACGGGCGTACTTTAAATGGGGATGTTCGTCCGTAGTAAATGAACACCTATCCATATAATATGGATGGGAGTCCATAGTAAGTGAACGACCGTCCATAGTTAATGAACTGTCGTTCACTAGAAAAAAATTTAATAACGTGAAACGTGTCTGATTTATTTGTGTGAATCACGAGACACGTAGGCTGGTACAACATTTCTGTATAAAAATATCGGTGTCCGTAGCATTATTGATTGCACATGAGCCATTTCTGCTGCATTATGTAAAGCATTCAAATTTCTCCTGTGTTAGAGCTAACAACCAATGTTTTAAAACCCAACCACCCATGGTGAAACTTGGCAAAGTGGTTGGGTCTTGGGTTGATCGACGGGTTAAATTGATGTTTAAAGGTTTGAAATCTAACAAAAAATACTTTTAAAAATTATATGTAAGTCTCTACAGGTTTGAAATCTTGCAAAAACATCTTAAACACTACCATCGGTCTTGACAAATAGGGGATGTTTTTGACGACGACAACACTCTCTATCATCACGAAAACACTTACTCTAGCCTCATGACCGAAACCTCTCTCTCGTTCGCCACCCCAATCGTCAGCGACAACAGGATTTTTCTAACGATATTGTTTTGCGATTTCCAATCGGTTCACTCATCAGAAATCAACGTCGTTGCCATCATTGCACTCACTGACAATTTCTCTTTAAAAGCATTAATATTCTAGCCTTTAGTTGTTCATGGATAGATGTCCTAATTTTTAGGGTTTTAAATTAATAGAAAAATTTGTAACCTGACCCAATGACGGCTTCGAGTCCCTGTTCAACCGGTCGGGCTGGGCGGGTTTTAAAACATAGCTAACAACGATAGGCCCCTTTATTTGAGCTCCAAACGAATTGTTGGGCCCGATTAAAATACAATGTCCAAGGCGTGTCCCGTGGGCAGCAAGGCCTGGACTATTGAGTCCAATTAAGCCTTGGGCTCGAGTCCATGAAGCTCAAACAAGCTTAATTTGACTTTCAATCGTGCAAATTGTAAAAATAACCCAACTATACATTTGAGATTATATTATCGATCCTATAAAAAGACACGGCAAAAATTCCTGAATAACATAAACAAGAAATTTTCCAAGGTGGGGGTGAGTGGCAATTTGAATAAAACATTTGACATAGAAAATGCAAATGAAGTAAATGTTTTAGATTTTCAATTCAATTCTTGAAGGTGAAGGGGGTTATAAAACGACACATACACATACTGTTAGTTTTTAGGCATATATCCAAGTTTTGAATATCCACGTGGGACCGTGGGTCTGTATTAAGTCTGCTTCCAAGTTCCAACAAATGAATCAAAATCATAAAGGAACCATAGTAGTTTGTGATAGCAAAAGCTCATTCATTCAGTAAAAGTTTCTGTGAAGAGCCTAAAACCAGTTACGTGCCCACAGAGAAGAAATACTTTACTGGGGAGTGGGGACAATTATATTCATTATACAACTGCTAAGTCAGGTCAAGCTGGTCAAAGTTAGTTCATGTTAATTGACAATCAGCACGTTGTAGAAGGTTTAGTAAATGAATTATTGGATAAGTCGAGCGTCATAGGTCGGACAAATCAAATTTAAACAATTATGTGCATTTGTTTTAGTGTTTTTGAAAAAATAAGAGTTGGTGTGAGGTAGAATTTAAAAATTAACAAAAATAACTTTTAAGATATGTTAATTTACTAAACATCTTTATAATAAAAATTATAAAAATACTTTCACCCCTCCATTAAATATTGGCAACCGGCTACCATCATAGGAGAGTGGTCGGAGTTGTCATATCGGCATACAATCAGTTGGATCTGGTCGGTTGTGCGTCGAGATAGTTTTTTTTAGCCAAATCCATCGCTGATCTGGCTGAAAAAGACAAGATCTACAGCTAGATCTAGCCATTGACGGCCAGATTTGGCCGTGTTTGGTCGTCAATGACGGCCAAAGATATGACCGTCGTTGATGGTCAACGACGGTCATATCTTGGCCGTCGTTGATGACTAGCTACGGCCAAAGATCTGGCCAAAAAAGGCTATATCAGTGCACTACTGACTAGATCTAGCCGGTAGTGCGCTATTATATCAGATTCCGGCCACCTTCTGGCGGTGGTGGCTGGAATATGTCAAATGTGGGTGGGTGTCAATTTCTAAACTTTTTCTTGGGTGTTTAGTTAAATTAACAAACTTAGAGGGTTTAAAAATAATTGAATAAAATATAATTGTATTTTTAGAATAGGAAAACAAATGTGTATTTTAGAAATGATAGGAATATGATAGGGGAAAAATAGGGAAACAAACGCATAATTTTTTATTTGAGAGGAGTTATAGGGCCTATAATATATTAACAGAAAGCTGATTTCAAGCTCTACGATGTGGTAACCCGATTCTCCAATTGAGAATCATTTTCGGGCCCAAAATCTACCGTTTTTGTATGTTTCGGTGCCATTTTAGTTTTTTGCACGTTTTCTTCTATTTTATTTTTTAATTAATTTGGATTTTATTTCCTTGTTAGGGTTGACTGTCATCACCTTATATAAACATATTATTCACTTTTTTTAAGATTATTTGATGATTATTCAGATTTTATTTCAGACTTTAAGATTTAAGTTTTTGTGATTGAGACTTGTTATCAATTCTAAAAGTATGCTAGCTTTGTTGTTATACTAACTCACTACGTCAAAAACAGTGACATGGGATCGCTTTGTCATTTCCATTCATTGGTGAAGTGTCTTCTCTCCTCAACAATTTCATTCCAATCAACCCTTTTAAGATTATTCGATGATTATTCAGATTTTATTTCAGGCTTTAAGATTTAAGTTTCTGTGATTGAAACTTGTTATCAATTCTAAATGTATGCTAGCTTTGTTGTTATACTAACTCACTGCATCAAAAACAGTGACATGGGATTGCTTTGTCATTTCCATTCATTGGTGAAGTGTCTTCTCTCCTCAGCAATTTCATTCCAATCAACCCTTTTCAAACTTTGAAGATTCCAAATTCCAAAGCTTAGTGTGACCAAAGAAAGTCGACAACAGGAGACTACGTAATGAAATGTTCCCTGAATATTTCATTTCATTTACTTATGCTTTTAATATTTTCGGGGAAAAAAGAAAAATTCTCACATATCAATCAAATGATTGAATACCCAAAGAATAATGAAACCTGGGCCCAGAATAATTAGATAATTTATCAACAAGGCTTGGGTAAATCTTTAAATGAAAAAGAAAAAGAAAAAGAAAAATTTACTTTTAAAAACTCCACCTAAGAATAAAATTACTTACACAAACTTTACATATAAATTAATGTATATAAACGTGCATAATTGTCATATTATGTATTTAATTTAATTTTAAGTAATCCAGTTATATAATATTATAACATAATAAACGAATTGACGAAATAAAACATATTGGATGGATGGATAAGGTTAGTGACCCAACCCAAGATCTAGAAGTAGTAGGATGGATCACTGTTTTAAAAGCCTGATCGGACCAGCTGGTCCAACCGGTTCGACCGAGACTGGTCCTCTATCCAGTCCGAACCAATATGAAACCCGCCCTCAATTAAAAAACATTATTTTAAAAGCTGGACCAAACCAGCCGGTCCAACCGGGACCTGGTCCTCTGTCCGGTTTGAACCAATATGAAACCTACCCTCAGTTAAAAACCCACTTAGACCCACCATTCAACCAGACGAACAGTGTGACACGACCGGTCCAATCGAACCACTTGATAAACCGGGTCAATGTTTAAAATTAAAAAAAAAAACCTAAATCTAATTTTCATAAAATCGATCGCAGCTCCCTACCTCCCTCTCGCGACTCCACTCTCTTCATTCTCTCAACTCTCTAAAATCACAGCTCCCACCTAAAAATCGCAGCTCTGTTGTCCTTTCTCGCAACTCCACTGACCAGTGACCACTCCACTCCACTCTACTCTCTTCAATCTCTCAGCTGCACTCAGTCCCAATTCAATCTCTCAACTCCACTCTCTCTTGCTTGACTATGGCAACACCTCCCTCACTGGATTTTGGCGATGACGCACCTTCCTTCTCCCTTGCTCGACGACAACAGACGACGACCCCTCCCTCATTTGCTAGAATCGATGATGCCTCTATCCCTCTGTTAAGCTTTGTAAAGGTATTTCCACTGTCTTTATTTGATGAATCTATTGCTATGATTCAATATGTCTTTATTTGATGCATAATTTATTCACTAGGTTGAATCTGTTGCTTTGATTCAATGACACCATGTTTTAGTTTAAATTGCTTAATTAGTGTTTAAGAGACTAATTAGATAAGAGGTGGGAGCCGGGAGGGAGATCCCTATGGGGAAGGTTCTGTGAAAGTGTTATTAGCTAATGAGCTAGTCATAATTCTTAAACTATGTTCAACAATCATGCTACTTGTGTAATAGCCACTACTACTGAAAAGATTATAATGAAATACATAAAAATAAAATAAAGAAATTGGGCCCAAAATTTTCTTTTATTAAATATATATACATATTCTTTACAAACATATACATTTTTACACAAAATGCATAACATAAACATAAGTCATCAAAAACACAAGGGACAGTGTAGCCACTCCTTCTCGAACGCCGACATCCATTCAAGCTTTTTGTCCCCCTCATTACAAGAGTTGTTACTGATGGTTGTCATCCTACAGATACTGTAGAGTGGCACAAGATAGCATCAAAACGAGTTAATCCTGCCTGGTGGGATGCAGTTTTGGCACCGGAGAGGGTTAGAGTCTGGGCAACTGGAGGTACGATGCATATGGAAAAAAATCATGGGAACCAGCTGAAATTCTGGCCATAATTTAGAATCTCTTGTTGCTGCCAGGAACTCACTTAGGATATGGAATTGAAACTAGGGCACTAACTGAGCCTCTTCCCACTAATCAGCAGTATATGTTTTCCTTTTCCATTTTGAAGGATCGATTATGGTAATGTCAATTACATGGTTTTATTATCTTCTACTTTTCTTATGCAGGCCTACAGAAACCATCAATTATTGCTATTGAAAGATGGCTTAATAAGTATCAGATAATTCATCCAAAGGCCCCGTTCTTGGATTCTGCTCTGGTCATCCGTTTATCCTAGGACTTGTGTGCAAACACTCAAGACAAAGAAAGTGCCTGCGGGAAGCACTACAGGTTAAAGCCAATGAGCTTCCTGTGAAGGTCTGGTCTTGATAATGGGAAATGTAGGAATTAATATATTTGATGATTGACCATTATATGGCTTTTCATTTACATAAATTATTTCCTCTTCAGGTGATAAAGAATTCTACAAAACTTAAGAAAGACAGGTTTAGTGAAGCTGAGGTCATGATGAAGTTGATTCTAAAGGAAATATTGAGCTTTATGGGAATGTCAACTGGAACCGTTCGTCTACCTCATGCTGTCAATGGCATTGTTCCAAGGTGACTTACTACCATTTCTCATGGATGTGGGGTTTGGTTCATATGTAGTTTATTCTGTAGTAAATGAAATAGGCAAAGGATATATCTGTTACATAACACACATGCACATGATTAATTATTGCTGGAAAAACAAGAAATGTGGCATAAAACCTCAGAGATAGGTGTAGGTGCAGAGAGTAGAATATAGTGATGGTACAATTAAAGTTCTGGCCTTTAGTAAGTCAACAAATTTTAGTTTGTTTCCTCAGCCTATTATAGTTTGTTGTTCGGTTATTTTTAATTGTACAGAGTGTTTTCATTTTTTATTTTTTGATCGGAACAATAAGTTTTATATATTAAGAAGAGATTGAGATAGGTATATTACTGCACTAGAGATCCACAAATATCAAAAAACCAATGAGGGAACAAATCTATACAAGATAGTGACTAATGTTTCCTGCCCTATGTGAAACAAGCAAACTCTACAAAGTTAGCCCAAAGCCCCCCTCCCAGTTAAGATGAATAAAGAAAAAAGAAAAGTCCTTGAATTCCTTTGAAACTGAAGCCCTAATAGAAGCAAAATTCTTATCCTATCACATAAGGCCTCACTGTTATTGTCTCATTTTTTTAATTAAATTACAGGAATCAAGTGAATCATATCTTAAAGAATATATATCTATGGATTAGCGGGGGATGATTGAAAATTTTTGAAACAACTTTTTTGGTATTGTTTAACATTGGGTTTATTTTTCTTAAATGCAGGTTAGGTCCAATTGTTGGAGTTATATAAAAACCTAGGATAGATGTAACTTAATAATTAATGTCAATAACAAAAGAAGAAAATAGCATAAATTGAATGCTGATATTGCATGGTATGGGTATTTACTGACTATGTGTAATTGATAATGATTGTACGGTTATATTGAGCTTTTTTGGTATTGAAATACTTTGTGTTTTGACTGAGAATTTATCCGAGTTGCTTTTTTTTTGTTGTGTTGTAGTTATTTTATTTTTTTGGTGTTGATATGCACTGGTGTAGTGGTATTGTTGAAAGAGAAGGGATGGTTAGTACTTGTGAGACTTGTGATTAATGACCACTCTCCTACATCGGAAAACACCTCTACGACAATGCGTGCTGGATGTCAGTGACGCGCTTTTCATCTGGGGTGTGATCGGTGTTCTGGCTGGAGTACGAGTGTTCTTGTGGAATACTGTTTGTGAGATTAGTTTTAGACCCTACATTTGTTAATTTAGTAAACACCCTTAAATGAAAGTTTATAAATTAACAGAACATTCACACACTAGTACAGCAGCTGGGCGGGCTGATTGGGTGGCAGTCGATGGCATCAATTGTTGTCAGACTTGTAGTGAGGGTGTTTTGTTATTTAAACTTTTATTGTGAAAGGTAATTATTAATTTTTTTAGTTATAGAATATGATTGGATTTGAATTGAATAGTCAATATTAAACAACATGTTTTTTTTACTATTTAGATGGATAGCTAATGAATACACTTTAAAAGTGTACCAAAGGGGGCTAGATATTTAGAATTTTATGATGGGATTTTCTTGGTGTTCGAAAGAGGTAATTTATGATTTCACAGTGTCTATAGTATGGGCATTTGGTGAACACTTTTTCAATTGTACACACTGATTTTTTTTTTTTTTTGAAGTGGGCATTTTTGCTGTAATATTCATTCACTTTCGCAACCTTCATCTGGTTTTTTAATTTGACTTACAAACTGCTGCACTAGTTTGAGAAACTTGAAAGTGCAAGCACATTATACTTTACATTCAAATTCTAATATCTTTTCTGTTTGTTTGTTTTAAAGTTCTTTATGAAGTGTATTATCAATGACAGCTGATCCCTCTTTTGATTTCTAGAATGAGCGTGGTCAAGTCGACGTGTGGTCTGAGAGTGCCTTCCACCAGGGACGGTACACTTAGGTTGCCTAGGATTTTCTCGTGGCCAAGAGGCTGGAAATTGATTATGCACCTGCCATGGTTGGTTTTGAATTCCGAAATGGTCGTTCTACTCCTGTCTTGATGGTATTGTGGTCTGCTCTGAGTTCAGGATATAATATTAGAGGTAATGACATAATAATTGTGTTTTTTTTTTTTTTTTTTTTTTTTTTCCAATTCAGAAAATGTCAATATAGGCATTTCATTATTCGTGTAATGAAAATGCTTAGTTGTCATGAGGTTTTCCCGACCGTTATCATAACTTACCATGATATACTCCTATTTTTCTTCCAGAATTTTAACATTTGGCAGAAAATTCTTTTATCTTAAAATCTGTTAAGTACTTGTTCTCCAGGGATGCAGAAGAAGAGGAGAAAGAGTAGCCGCAGAGAAGAAAAGAAGGAAGCACAAGCTATTTCTAGTGTGTTTCAACTTTTATCTTCCATTGTAACTCGACAAAGGTTAAACAACTGCTATGGGGATGGTTCATCTTCACAAACATCCAGTGCCATAAAAACATAAAGAATAATGAGTCAAATCTTCGGTTGGTGATAGTCAGGATGATAAGCAATCTCAGGATGCCGTAAAGTAGATCACGGGACGCCAAACTAGATGCTGCTTTGGTGGTAGTAACAGCAGAGCATGAGCATGATTTATTTGATAGAGGATCAGAGTTTTGATGAAGAGAACTCTGTGCGGACGAAGCGTTGTCATTGTGGCTTTACAATCCAAGTTGAGGAGTTTTAGTTATCAAAATGATGGTGCTCTATTTATTATGAGATAAAGAAAAGAAAAGATTTTGTTTAGTCGTGTAAGGTGTGTGTAGCATAAGTTGATTGTATTTTGATTAAATGTACAGAAAGTCAAGTCGGAATCGCCTTATGTTTGTGATCCATTTCGAGTATGTGGCAGCATTATATTGCACACATGCAATAATGTTACGGGGACATCGGTATTTTTAGATCAAAATTTTGTATTGATTTACGTGTTTTATGATTCACACTAATAAATCAGACACGTTTTATGTTATTAATTTTTGTTTATTGAACGTGTCGTTCATCAAATATGATGAATCATTCGTTTATATGGACTCTTGTCTATATTATATGGATGAGAATTTATTTATTACGTACGAACGTTCTATTTAAAGACACTTATCTATTAATAAAATGAAATAAAAAAATAAAATAAAATTAAGGGATGGCTGTCCAAAAAATAGATTTTAACGTCTTGCGGACTGCTGTCCCAAAAATAGATTTTAACGTCTTGCGGCTGCTGTCCCAAAAAATAGATTTTAATAATAAAATTTTATTAACAAAATTAATGGAAACGTCCATCCATTAACAATGCTTTTAAAAATAAAAAAAAAATTGGACGCCAGTCCACAATGGACAGTCGTCCCTCATGTGCCACCAGTTTGATACAACAAAGAGAGTCAAGTTTCTAAAGATTTTTGACAGCATCTAGGGAAGCAAGGTCGTTTCTGACAGCATTTTTGAGAAAGAAATTGATAAAAGAAAAATTACAGATTTTTGACAGCATCTAGGGGATGAGGCGAGTGCTGAGTTGGTAGAGTTGAAGAAGAGTCTGGGAGAGAAGGGAGTGAAATTGGAGGGATTAGATAAAGAAATTGATGGGTTGATAGTGAGAAGAAAGTGCGGGAGTTGGAAAGAAAAGTTGGGACTTGGAAGTGAGGGAATTGGAAGAGAAGAGTAAAAGCGGTGAGAGTTGAAGAGGAAATGAGGAAAAATTGATGACAGAAAGGAAATTAGTGGGATTAAGAGAAAGTTAATGTTTTGGATTCTGAATTGGATAAGTGATAGCTGAGAAGAAGTCAGTGGAGGGAAGTTTGAAGGAATCAGAGAGCAAATCCAAGGAAATGGAGGCCAAGATTACTGGTTGGAGAAGAGATTGATGAGGCGAAACGTGATTAGTGGACTCGAGGAGAAGATAACTTCCAGTTTGGGGACGGCCGTCTAGAAATGGTGAACGGTTGTCCTTTTATTTATTTAATTATTTTTTTTTTTTTTAAAGTATGGATTGGCGTCCCTTACATGAGGATGCCAGTCCACATTTTAGGGACGGCCGCTCATAAGTTAGGGATGGGTGTCTAATTTTTTTTAATTTTTTTATATTTATTTTATCGACGGGCGTACTTTAAATGGGGATGTTCGTCCGTAGTAAATGAACACCTATCCATATAATATGGATGGGGTCCATAGTAAGTGACCGACCGTCCATAGTTAATGAACTGTCGTTCACTGAAAAAAATTTATAACGTGAAACGTGTCTGATTTATTTGTGTGAATCACGAGACACGTAGGCTGGTACACATTTCTGTTAAAAATATCGTGTCCGTAGCATTATTGATTGCACATGGCCATTTCTGCTGCATTATGTAAAGCATTCAAATTTCTCCGTGTTAGAGCTACACCAATGTTTTAAAACCCAACCACCCATGGTGAAACTTGGCAAAGTGGTTGGGTCTTGGGTTGATCGACGGGTTAATTGATGTTTAAAGTTTGAAATCTAACAAAAAATACTTTAAAAATTATATGTAAGTCTCTACAGGTTTGAAATCTTGCAAAAACATCTTAACACTACCATCGGTCTTGACAAATAGGGGATGTTTTTGACACGACAACACTCTCTATCATCACGAAAACACTTACTCTAGCCTCATGACCGAAACCTCTCTCTCGTTCGCCACCCCAATCGTCACGACAACAGGATTTTTCAACGATATTGTTTTGCGATTTCCAATCGGTTCACTCATACAGAATCAACGTCGTTGCCATCATTGCACTCACTGACAATTTCTCTTTAAAGCTAATATTCTAGCCTTTAGTTGTTCATGGATATGTCCTAATTTTTAGGGTTTTAAATTATAGAAAAATTTGTAACCTGACCCAATCGGCTTCGAGTCCCTGTTCAACCGGTCGGGCTGGGCGGGTTTAAAACATAGCTAACAACGATAGGCCCCTTTATTTGAGCTCCAAACGAATTGTTGGGCCCGATTAAAATACAATGTCCAAGGCGTGTCCCGTGGGCAGCAAGGCCTGGACTATTGAGTCCAATTAAGCCTTGGGCTCGAGTCCATGAAGCTCAAACAACTTAATTTGACTTTCAATCGTGCAAATTGTAAAAATAACCCAACTATACATTTGAGATTATATTACGATCCTATAAAAAGACACGGCAAAAATTCCTGAATACATAAACAAGAAATTTTCCAAGGTGGGGTGAGTGGCAATTTGAATAAAACATTTGACATAGAAAATGCAAATGAAGTAAATGTTTTAGATTTTCAATTCAATTCTTGAAGGTGAAGGGGGTTTATAAACGACACATACACATCACTGTTAGTTTTTAGGCATATATCCATTTTGAATATCCACGTGGGACCGTGGGTCTGTATTAAGTCTGCTTCCAAGTTCCAAATGAATCAAAATCATAAAGGAACCATAAGTTTGTGTAGCAAAAGCTCTTCATTCAGTAAAGTTTCTGTGAAGAGCCTAAAACCAGTTACGTGCCCACAGAGAAGAAATACTTTACTGGGAGTGGGGACAATTATATTCATTATACAACTGCTAAGTCAGGTCAAGCTGGTCAAAGTTAGTTCATGTTAATTGACAATCCACGTTGTAGAAGGTTTAGTAAATGAATTATTGGATAAGTCGAGCGTCATAGGTCGGACAAATCAAATTTAAACAATTATGTGCATTTGTTTTAGTGTTTTTGAAAAAATAAGATTGTTGTTAGGTAGAATTTAAAAATTAACAAAATAACTTTTAAGATATGTTAATTTACTAACATCTTTATAATAAAAATTATAAAATACTTTCACCCCTCCATTAAATATTGGCAACCGGCTACCATCATAGGAGAGTGGTCGGAGTTGTCATATCGCATACAATCGTTGGATCTGGTCGGTTGTGCTCGAGATAGTTTTTTTTAGCCAAATCCATCGCTGTCTGGCTGAAAAAGACAAGATCTACAGCTAGATCTAGCCATTGACGGCCAGATTTGGCCGTGTTTGGTCGTCAATGACGGCCAAGATATGACCGTCGTTGATGGTCAACGACGGTCATATCTGGCCGTCGTTGATGACTAGCTACGGCCAAGATCTGGCCAAAAAAGGCTATATCAGTGCACTACTGACTAGATCTAGCCGGTAGTGCGCTATTATATCAGATTCCGGCCACCTTCTGGCTTGGTGATTGGTTACTCTTTGAGGGAGAATTGAAGGGTTGATTTTCTTGCAGATTGCGGCATTGTCTGTGGCATTATTTAGAGCTTTGAAGCTTACAACCCGGTATGGTTATAACATAATTGTGGGCACAGCCTATTAGCTGATATTTATGCTTTTATTTTTGTTACTTTTGCTTTTTCTTCCTTTAATTTCTTTTTTCCTTTTTAGAACAAATATTACTTCTTTAAGATGGTATTTAGTTCATGTTTTAAGAATTCCTTTTATTTTGATGATGATTTAGTGATTTGATCTCTTTCTAAGTTGTAGACTTTATATCTTATATCAAGGTGGTGTATAAAATCATCGTATGAGACTCTAGTTGTTTCCACTTTTCAGGTTTGTGTCTATTCTGGACGTTTCCTCCTTAAAACCTGAGGCTGATAAAAATGAATCTTCAAGTCTAGATGGTGGCAGAAGTGGGGGAATATTCGGTTCTCCAACTCTGATGGTAAGCCGACCAAAAGAAGTTGCTTTGTCTTTGGATAAATTAATTTCCTGCGACAAAAAAGAGAATGTATGTGAAATTTCTTCAAGGGGTTTATCCAAATGTAAGAATAGCAACTCAACAAGCTACAATACTCAATCCAAAAAGTCTGCCATACCTGATGAGTTGAATGATAGAACTTCGGATTCATTGTTGTGTGATGCACACTGTGATACCTCTGAAGCATGCCATAGCAAGGAATCTCAGGGTTTGAAGAGGAAGGGGGATCTTGAGTTTGAGACGCAGTTGCACATGGCTCTTTCTGCAACAGCCGCGGGGAATTGTAAAAGTAACTTAGGGTCTGATGAGAAGAACCTGAATAGTGATGAAAATGTCTCTTCTCCATTCAAAAGAATGAAAAAGATTGAAAATATAGAATCCTCAACTTCTCATGAGGGAATCTCCACTGCAGTTGGATCGAGAAAAGTAGGATCTCCTCTGTATTGGGCAGAAGTATACTGTAGTGGTGAGAATTTTACAGGAAAATGGGTACATGTTGATGCTGCCAATGCGATCATCGATGGAGAGCAGAAGGTAGAAGCTGCAGCTTCTGCATGCAAAATAGCTTTGAGATATGTAGTTGCTTTCGCTGGGCATGGAGCGAAAGATGTGACCCGCAGGTTATGTGTCCTCCTTAGTTACTTGCTGTGCCTGATTGAACATCCATTTACTTTCTAATTGAGACCTAACCTTTGTTTGCAACTGTTTGTATACCTGTAGATATTTTTGCACTATCTGTTGTTTCTGAATAGAGTTATGAGTTGAATTGTTGCTAAAGTATTACCTTTGGAATATTCTTCCTTTAATTTCCATTGGCATCTAATGGGCCAATTCACTTGTATGTATGTCTTTTGTGTACGTTGTGTTACTGCAAAGTGAATTGGCATGTTGGATAGCTATTACTTGACATGTCTACAGAAGTGATCCTAATTTGAGGTTTTATTTTCTTGTTGCTGTTTTTAAACCTTGCACAGATGTGGCTTTTTGAAAGTTGAATCTGGATTCTCAAAAGAAAACTATAATAGGCAATTAGTATTATACTAGTAAATTAGGCATTTAAAAATAATAAGGATCATTAGCATGTACTAAAAAAACTCTGAAGTGGTTGGCAGTTACCACTACATTGTTATAAACATCACAATAAACACATTTGAGATAACAATAAGAGCACTTCTTGTGGTGATGATGTTGCGCAATTTCACTGTCTTGAAGGTTGAAAGGGAACTCAGAATTTCAGGGTTTACTTATCTGTGCTATTGTACGGACTTTGATCATAAACCTCAGATGGGGCCCAGTTATTTAATTTGTTTTTAACACTGTAGTAACAGTGTTTTACTTGTAGGGGCTTCTGGTAGAATTGTAGAATAGCATTGTTATGTTAGTGAGATGTTATAATCAACCCATGATTATTTGTTCAGTACTTGCATGTGCTTTCACAAACATGTTACTGTCATACAAAAGAAAAAGAAAATTAAAGGGAAGAAATAGCTAAAAACCTCATCTCCATGCTCTTTGAAGTGGATCACATTGCTATTGTATAGGTTTTTAATTATTCAGTCTTTCCCTTTTCCCCTGGTTAACAGAATTCTAAGCTCTCCGTAATCATTTTGTCATGCTAAAAAGTTTTGACAGAATTAAAACAATTGGAGTAGTTAGGATGCATATACTGATTTTTATTCCCTTTTAATAAGGAATGAAAGAGTGGAAATTTCTTTAATAGTTCCATGCAGAATAAATTAGTTACTCAGGATTCATCAATCATGTAAAAATTTAAATAAAATAATATATTTTTTTTAATCTAAAAATGGCTTTATGCTTGCCTAAATTTCAGAGACGTGATAATCAGTTGTTACATGATGTTTATGCTCCGAGGCATTGTGCCTAATTTCTTCCTTTGATAGTTATGTTCACGTTGCAATTTAAATGCTGTTAGTTGTTACAAAACTATTAGTACGGCTTTAAAAATTTCATGTGTAATTCAAGCTTTTTGTCCCCCTCATTACAAGAGTTGTTACTGATGTGTTGTCATCCTACAGATACTGTATGAAGTGGCACAAGATAGCATCAAAACGAGTTAATCCTGCCTGGTGGGATGCAGTTTTGGCACCGTTGAGAGGGTTAGAGTCTGGAGCAACTGGAGGTACGATGCATATGGAAAAAAATCATGGGAACTCGGCTGGAAATTCTGGCCATAATGTAGAATCTTCTGTTGCTGCCAGGAACTCACTTGAGGATATGGAATTGGAAACTAGGGCACTAACTGAGCCTCTTCCCACTAATCAGCAGGTATCGTGTTTTCCTTTTCCATTTTGAAGGATCAATTAATTGGTAATGTCAATTACATGGTTTTATTATCTTCTACTTTTCTTATGCAGGCCTACAGAAACCATCAATTATATGCTATTGAAAGATGGCTTAATAAGTATCAGATAATTCATCCAAAGGGCCCCGTTCTTGGATTCTGCTCTGGTCATCCAGTTTATCCTAGGACTTGTGTGCAAACACTCAAGACAAAAGAAAGATGGCTGCGGGAAGCACTACAGGTTAAAGTCAATGAGCTTCCTGTGAAGGTCTGGTCTTTATAATGGGAAATGTAGGAATTAATATATTTGATAATTGACTATTATATGGCTGTTTCATTTACATAAATTAATTTCCTCTTCAGGTGATAAAGAATTCTACAAAACTTAAGAAAGGACAGGTTTATGAAGCTGAGGATCATGATGAAGTTGATTCTAAAGGAAATATTGAGCTTTATGGGAAGTGGCAACTGGAACCGTTGCGTCTACCTCATGCTGTTAATGGCATTGTTCCAAAGGTGACTTACTACCATTTCTCATGGATGTGGGGTTTGGTTCATATGTAGTTTATTCTGTAGTAAATGAAGGCGAAAGGATATATCTGTTACATAACACAGATGCTCATGATTCAATTATTGCTGCGAAAAAAACAAGAAATGTGGCATAAAACCTCAGAGATAGGTGTAGGTGCAGAGACGTAGAATATAGTGATGGTACAATTGAAAAGTTCTGGCCTTTAGTAAGTCATCAAATTTTAGTTTGTTTCCTCAGCCATATTATAGTTTGTTGTTCGGTTATTTATTCAATTGTACAGAGTGTTTTCATTTTTTAATTTTTTGATTGGAAACGATAAGTTTTATATATTAAAGAAGAGATTGAGATAGGTATATTACTGCACTAGAGATCCACAAAAATATCAAAAAACCAATGAGGGGAACAAATCTATACAAGATAGTGACTAACGTTTCCTTCCCTATGTGAAAACAAGCAAACTCTACAAAGTTAGCCCAAAGCCACCTCCCAGTTAAGATGAATAAAGAAAAAAAGAAAAGTCCTTGAATTCCTTTGAAACTGAAGCCCTAATAGAAGCAAAAATTCTTATCCTATCACATAAGGCCTCACTGTTATTGTCTCATTTTTTTAATTAAATTACAGGAATCAAGTGAATCATTATCTTAAAGAACATATAGCTATGGATTAGCTGGGGATGATTGAAAATTTTTGAAGACGAACTTTTTTGGTATTGTTTAACATTGGGTTTATTTTTCTTAAATGCAGGTTAAGGTCCAATTGTTGGAGTTATATAAAACCTAGGATAGATGTAACTTAATAATTATATGTCAATAAACAAAAGAAGAAAATAGCATAAATTGAATGCTGATATTGCATGGTATGGGTATTTACTGACTATGGTGTAAATTGATAAATGATTGTACAGTTATATTGAGCTTTTATTGGTATTGAAATAACTTTGTGTTTTGACTGAGAACTTATATTCACCTAGAAATGTTAAAGCTACTATTAAGCTTTTCATATTGTGGTGTACTTTTGCTTTCTGGTTTATTCTTATATATATATATATATATTTGGGAACTAGGGAGTGGTTGGATTGAGCTTGCATGCTTATGCATGAATTTTCTAGGGCTTGTTTGGTACATTATTTGAAATATGATATTCTGAATAGGATATGATAGGATTCTGAGAATGTGTTTGATACATTTTTGAAAAACATTTTCTGAAGATTATTTTTTAACCCCCTACATTTGTTAATTTAACTAAACACCCCTTCACAATAAAAGTTTATAAATTAACAAAAACACTCGCACCCACGTAACGTACTACCAGCAGCCGGCAGCCGGCCACCACTGCCGGACGGTGGCCGGCCGATTGTGCGTCGTTCCGGCACCGACAATGGTGGTAGCCGGCGGTGGTTGCTGGCAGTCGACAATGACTTGGGTGGGTGAGGGTGTTTTTGTTTATTTATAAACTTTTATTGGGAAAGGTAATTGTTAAATGTTTTGAGTTGAATAGAATATGATTGAATTTTGAATTGAATAGTCAATATTAAAACAAACACGTTTTTTACTGTTTCGGATGGATAGGATAATAGAATACACTTTTAAAAAGTGTACCAAAAGGGGGCTAGATATTTAGAATTTTATGATGGGATTTTCTTGATGTTCGAAAGAGGGGTAATATTTATGATTTCACAGTGTCTATAGTATGGGCATTTGGTGAACACTTTTTCAATTGTACACACTAGATTTTTTTTTTTTTTTTTTTTTTATTTTTTTTTTTAAGGTGGGCATTTTTGCTGTAGAATATTCATTCACTTTCGCAACCTTCATCTGGTTTTTTAATTTGACTTACAAACATGCTGCACTAGTTTGAGAAAGCTTGAAAATGTGCAAGCACATTATACTTTACATTCAAATTCTAATATTCATTTCTGTTTGTTTGTTTTAAAGTTCTTTATGAAAGTGTATTATCAATGACAGCTGATCCCTGTTTTGATTTCTAGAATGAGCGTGGTCAAGTCGACGTGTGGTCTGAGAAGTGCCTTCCACCAGGGACGGTACACTTAGGGTTGCCTAGGATTTTCTCTGTGGCCAAGAGGCTGGAAATTGATTATGCACCTGCCATGGTTGGTTTTGAATTCCGAAATGGTCGTTCTACTCCTGTCTTTGATGGTATTGTGGTCTGCTCTGAGTTCAAGGATATAATATTAGAGGTAATGACATAATAATTGTGTTCTTTTTTTTTTTTTTTTTTTTTTCCAACTCAGAAAATGTCAATATATGCATTTCATTATTCGTGTAATGAAAATGCTTAGTTGTCATGAGGTTTTCCCGACTGTTATCATAACTTACCATGATATACTCCTATTTTCTTCCAGAATTTTAACATTTGGCAGAAAATTCTTTTATCTTAAAATCTGTTAAGTACTTGTTCTCCAGGGATATGCAGAAGAAGAGGAGAAAAGAGTAGCCGCAGAGAAGAAAAGGAAGGAAGCACAAGCTATTTCTAGGTGGTTTCAACTTTTATCTTCCATTGTAACTCGACAAAGGTTAAACAACTGCTATGGGGATGGTTCATCTTCACAAACATCCAGGGCCATACAAAACATAAAGAATAATGAGTCAAATCTTCGGGTTGGTGATAGTCAGGATGATAAGCAATCTCAGGAGTGCCCTAAAGTAGATACACGGGACGCCAAACTAGATGCTGCTTTGGTGGCAGCAACAGCAGAGCATGAGCATGATTATTTGATAGAGGATCAGAGTTTTGATGAAGAGAACTCTGTGCGGACCAAGCGTTGTCATTGTGGCTTTACAATCCAAGTTGAGGAGTTTTAGTTATCAAAATGATGGTGCTCTATTTATTATGAGATAAGAAAAGAAACGATTTTGTTTAGTAGTGTAAGGTGGTGTAGCATAAGTTGATTGTATTTTGATTAAATGTACAGAACATGAAGTCGGAATCGCCTTATGTTAGTGATCCATTTCGTGTATGTGGCAGGCATTATATTGCACATGAGCCAATTCTGCTGCATTATGTAAAGCATTCAAATTTCTCCTGTGTTAGAGCAAACAACCAATGTTTTAAATTAAAACCCCACCTGGGGTGAAACCTGGCAAAGTGGTTGGGTCTCAGATTGACTGGTGGATTAAATTGGTGTTCAAAGATTTGAAATCTAACAAAAAATACTTTTAAAAATTACATGCAAGCCTTTATAGGTTTGAAATCTTGCAAAAAAACATTCTAAACACCACCATCAGTGTTGACAAACAGGGAATGTTTTTGGCGACGACAACACTCTATATCATCACGAAAACACTTCCTCTAGCCTCATGACTGAAACCCCTCTCTCGTTCGCCACCTTAATCGTCAGCGACAAGAAGATTTTTCTGACGATATTGTTTTGCGATTTTCAATCAGTTCACTCATCAGAAATCAAAGCCGTTGCCCCCATTGCACTCACTGGCAATTTCTCTTCAAAAGCATTAAAATTCCAGCCTTTAGTTGTTTATGGATAGATGTCTTAATTTTTAGGGTTTTGAATTAATAGAAAAATTTGTAACCTGACCCAATGACGGCTTTGGGTCCTTGTTCAACCGGTCGGGCCAAATGGGTTTTAAAACATAGCTAACAACGATTGGCCCCTTTATTTGAGCCCCATAAGAATTATTAGGCCCGATTAAAATACAATGTCCAAGGTGTGTCCTGTGGGCGGCTAGGCCTGGACTATTGAGTCCAATTAAGCCTTGGGCTCGAGTCCATCAAGCTCAAGCAAGCTTATTTTGACTTTCAATCGTGCAAATTGTAAAAATAACTCCACTATAAATTTGAGATTATATTATCGATCCTATAAAAAGACACAGCAAAAATTCCTGAATAACATAAACAAGAAATTTTCCAAGGTTGGGGTGAGTGGCAATTTGAATAAAACATTTGACATGAAGTAAATGTTTTAGATTTTCAATTCAATTCTTGAAGGTGGAGGGGGTTATAAAACGACACATACACATACTGTTAGTTTTTAGACATATATCCAAGTTTTGAATATCCACGTGGGACCGTGGGTCTGTATTAAGTCTACTTCCAAGTTCCAACAAATGAATCAAAATCATAAAGGAACCATAGTGGTTTGTGATAGCAAAAGCTCATTCATTCAGTAAAAGTTTCTGTGAAGAGCCTAAAACCAGTTACGTGCCCACAGAGAAGAAATACTTTACTGGGGAGTGGGGACAATTATATTCATAATTAAAAGCAATTCATAAATCAAAAGGCTGCTGCTAAGTCAAGTCAAGCTGGTCAAAGTTAGTTCATGTCAATTGACAATCAGCACGTTTATCGAAAGAAGGTTTAGTAAATGAATTCTTGGATAAGTCGAGCGTCATAGGTCGGACAAATCAAATTTAAACAATTATTTGCATTTGTTTTAGTATTTTTCAAAAAAATAAGAGTTGGGGCGATAGATACAAGATAAAATTTAAAAATTAATAAAAACACCTTTTTAGATTTGTTAATGTACTAAATACTCTTATAATAAAAATATTAAAAATTATAAAAATACCCCTATTCATCCATTAAATATCGGTAACTGGCCACCATCGTATGAGGGTGGTTGAAGTCACTGTATCGACACACGATCAGCTGGATTTGGTCAGTTGTGCATTGAGATGAATTTTTTTAGACAAATCTACCATAGATCTAGATGGAAAATGTCAGATCTACGGTTAGATCTGACCGTTGATGACCAAAGATATGATCGTCATTGATGGTCAACAACTGTCATATCTTGGCCGTTGTTGACGACTAACTACGGCCAAGATCTGACATTTTCTAGCCAAATCCACAATGGATCTGGCTAGAAAAAGCTATATCGGTGCACTACTAGCTAGATCCAGTTGGTAATGCGCTATTATACCAAATTTCGCCTATCTTTCGGCGGTGGTAACTGGAATTTGGCAAATGTGGGTAGATGGGGGTGTTTTTATCAATTTCTAAACTTTTTTTGGGTGTTTAGTTAAATTAACAAACTTAGGGGGTTTAAAAATAATTGAATAAAATATAATTGTATTTTTAGAATAGGAAAACAAATGTATATTTTGAAAATGATAGGAATAAGATAGGGGAAAAATAAGGAGACAAATGCATAATTTTTTATTTGGGAGAAGTTATAGGGCCTATAATATATTAACAGAAAGCTCATTTCAGGCTCTACGATGTGGCAACCCGATCCTCCAATTGGGAGTCATTTTCGGGCCCAAAATCTACCCATTTTTGTATGTTTCGGTGCCATTTTAGTTTTTTGCACGTTTTCTTCTATTTTATTTTTTAATTAATTTGGATTTTATTTCATTGTTAGGGTTGACTGTTCTCACCTTGTATAAACATATCATTCACTCTTTTTAAGATTATTCGATGATTATTCAGATTTTATTTCAAGCTTTAAGATTTAAGTTTTTGTAATCGAGGCTTATTATCTTTTGTAAAGGTATGCTAGCTGTGTTGATATACTAACTCAATGCATCAAAAACAGTGACATGGGATTGCTTTGTAATTTCCATTCATTGGTGAAGTGTCTTCTCTCAGCAATTTCATTTCAATCAACCATTTTCAAACTTTGACGATTCCAAGTTCCAAAGCTTAGTGTGACCAAAGAAAGTCGACAACAGAAGACTACGGCTCCGTTTGGTTCAAAATTTGGGGGTTTTGGGAAAAGTTTTTTGAAAAAAGTTAAAAAAAAATTGAATTGGACGGGTATTACGATGTAGAATTTATAAATTAATAAAATACCCTTTATGTTTGTTTTTTTACAAAATCCCCCTATAATAAAACATTAAAAGTTAACAAAAATACCTCTAACCCACCCTCAAACACCCCCAGCCGGCGACCAGCACCGGAGGTGGCCGGAGTCATCGTATGGGCGCATGATCGGTTGGATCTTGCCGGTCATGCGTCGCTATGGCCTTTTCCGGCCAGATCCACTGTGGATCTGGCCGGAAAAGGCCAGATCTACGGTCAGATCTGGCCGTCAACGGCCAGATCTGGCCGTATTTGCTCTCAACGACCGCCAAGAAACGGTCGTCGTTGATGGTCAACAACGACCGTTTGTTGGCCGTCGTGACCGAGTGTTACGGCCAAAGATCTGGCCGTCAACGGCCAGATCTTTGGCCTTAGATCTGGCCTTTTCCGGCTAGATCCACGGTGGATCTGGCCGAAAAAGGCTAGATCGGCGCACTACCGACCAGATTCAGCCGGTAGTGCGCCATCCTACCAGATTCCGGCCATTTTCCGGTAGTGGTGGCCGGAATCTGGTAAATGTGGATTGTTGGGGTGTTTTTGTAATTTTAAAAAAAATATTTAGGGGTATTTAATTAAATTAACAAATTTAGAGGGTTTAAAAAAAATTAAATAATATTGAAAATAGTATTCCAAAAAATGAGAGATTTTGGGTATTTTACTGTTTAACTTTTTTGGGAATACCAAGAGTAGTATTCCCAATCTTGAACCAAACGGAGCCTACGTAATGAAATGTTCCCTCAATATTTCATTTCATTTCATTTACTTATGCTTTTAATATTTTCGGGGAAAAGAGAAAAATTCTCACATATCGATCAAATGATTGAGTACCCAAAGAATAATGAAACCTGGGCCCAGAATAATTAGATAATTTATCAACAAGGCTTGGGTAAATCTTTAATGAAAAAGAAAAAGAAAAAGAAAAATTTACTTTTAAAAACTCCACCTAAGAATAAAATTACTTACACGAGCTTTGCATATAAATTAATGTATATAAACCTGCATAATTGTCATATTATATATTTAATTTAATTTTAAGTAATCCAGTTATATAATATTATAACATAATAAACGAATTGACGGAATAAAACATATTGGATGGATGGATAAGGTTAGTGACCCAACCCAAGATCTAGAAGTAGTAGGATGGATCACTGTTTTAAAAGCTGGATCAAATCGGCTGGTCCAACCGGTTCGATCGAGACCCGATCCTCTATCCGGTTCGAACCAATATGAAACCTGCCCTCAGTTAAAAAACACTATTTTAAAATCCGGACAAGACCAGTCAGTCCTCTGTCCGGTCCAAACCAATATGAAACCCTCCCTCAATTAAAAAGCCACTACAATAAAAAAGGCTTTTAGCTACGATTTTGTTAGTGACGATCTCAAAATTCGTCGCCAAAGGTAACTATTAGCAACGAAATATGAAATTGGTTGCCAATAGTTTTGCGGACTTTCTAATTCTCGCATGAGATGGCGGGAAGCAAATTGACGACTGACTTAGCGATGACATAATTCGTCATACAATGTTTTTGCCGATGAAAATAAAAAAAGCGACACCCAAGTTGTTTCGCGACGTAACTATATGTCGTCGTGGATACTTTTAAGAGACAAAAATAATACAAAACGTAGCCAAAGGTATTTAGCAATGCAAATGCATGGCACCATAAAATGTTTTTGGTGACGAACATATATAAAGCAACGCCAACGAAATTTAGCTACGCAACAAAAGGCCTGTCGTAACACCTTTTCGGCGGTGAAAATATAAAAATAAAGTAGAATCCATATGGCTACGCAACAAATTGTGCATCGGGAAACGTTTTTGGTGACAAAAATATAAACAACAACGGAAAATCCATCTAGCTATGCAACAAATAGTGCATCAGGAAACGTTTTTGGTGACGAAAATATAAAAAATGACATAAAATCCATCTGGCTACTCAACAAATTGTGCGTCGGGAAACGTGTTTGGTGACAAAAATATAAACAACGATGTAAAATCCATCTAGCTACGCAACAAATTATGCGTCAGGAATGGTTTTTGGCGACAGAAATATAAAAAATGAAGCAAAATCCATCTGGCTACGTAATAAATTGTTCGTTGGGAAACGTTTTTGGCGACGAAAATATAAAAAACGACGCAAAATTCATCTGGCTACGCAACAAATTGTTTGTCAAGAAACGTTTTTGGCGACACAAATATAAAAAACAATGCCAAAAATGTATTGTGACGCAATCTATGTTTTGTCGTGAAAAAATTGTGGTGTCAATTTTCTTAAAATCATTGCCACTAGTTTGTTAGAATTTAATTTTTAATATAATT